ATGTGAATTGCTGCAATCAGTGTTTGCACGTCGTTAAGTACCTAACAAAAATGTCATCTGTAATTCCAGGTTGATAAACATTTTTTTTAAGCAGTAGGTCAGAAGTTTCTCAACCTTTTTATCTGAAGAATAATTTTGACGTTTTGACATAATTTATCTTATACAACTATTTAAACTACACTGAAACACCTAACACTGTTACAATCGGTCAAAATCATTAATATTATTGACTCACTTGACTTAAGGTACTATGTCCTCTAGATGGGACAAAGAGTGTTCACAACAATCCTCCATCGCATTCGGTCTTGAGCTTCGTGTGGTAATATTATTAATCCTCATTAACTTCTCAAGTAGAGAGAAACACCCTGTATTAGTAAACGAATCGTGTTGGAAATAAATGTAACATTCATAACACGAATATTGTACCTACACAGATAAAAATCCCAGCATATTGTTTCTACGCATTTAATTTGCTCTTACCAAAACAGCAATCAGGCTGGCCATCCGTCACGCCGTACACGGATTGATACCGTCTACTTGTTCCAGCGTGCCCTGAATGTGGATGTGATTGCATTAGCCTACGCCATATTTCGCAGGTCGTATCTAGATAAGAATGTTAATCAAGGGTGCCACCGCACACGATATTCGCTATGTAAATGGGAGCTCCAGTTGATATACATCAAGTGTTACGTTAAACAAGAATGTAAGTAAGTCCTGGAGGCGCAGCGTGAGCTTACGTCAAACGCTTTCGATATCGACTGCGTAAAAAGTGACATTAAATGTATGACGGATTGTACAGCGCCCCAAGCGGTAACTTTCAGGAACTAAAATCTTCATATATTTTCGATATCGAATGCGTTTGACGTAAACTCACACTATGCCCCGTGTTCCAAGTTGCCATATCAACTTTAAAGAAATTGTGGGGCTTTTATTTATTTTTTGACAATTTAAAATCGGTGGGGATACTCCTACTTTCCAACACTTTCAACCAAACTTTTTTTCCAACAGGCAAAGATGGCGAGACATCGTGAGGCGGTTAATATCTGCCCACTACAATTCACGACCACGACCACTCAGACAACAGAGTGGACACTTCTTCTCAGAAGTCCTACGATCCTCCTCTTTTTCCGTCTGTCCGTCTGTCCGTCTGTCCGTCTGTCCGTCTGTCCGTCTGTCCGTCTGTCCGTCTGTCACAGCCGATTTTTTTTAGACGAGAGTCAATACAACACTAAACTGTCCAAACAAATAATGTGTTTTCTTAACTTAACTCCATTATTATCGCAATTAGCCAACTGAGAAAATTAACTTTAACTTTAACTCACACTAGTGCACAGAAAAGCGTAAGAGAGCCAAATGAGCAGTTAGTAATAACCGCGTCTTGGAATCTAAAACTGAAACTTCTTAAAACTTACTGATCTTTAACTTACACTCGTATTACAGCTTTGTTGACACACACAAACTAAAATTATATAAAGCTTGAAGCTGCTGGTTTTCATTTATTAATATTACTTAAGTTATTTCTATTTGTCATAGAGTTTTACTCGGTGACTGCTTGTGACATGCTTAAGTACCTATTTATCTTCTGCTCAAGTAAGTCACTCCTTCTCTTCTAGGCACTTCACTTCATATTGGTTAATTGTCTAGATTAACACAATCTCTAAAAATCATCCATTATCAAGGTCACAGTAACTACCGAAATATTCTCTTTAAAATCTGATAAATTGAAAAATCTCTTTCAATCAGAGTAGTCAACGATTCTCACATTAATTTGCCCTTTGATTCGGCTGGAACATCTGAAAAATGTACAGAATTTCCCCGGCCGTGTCACAACGATTCTCGACAATAATGACGAATAATCAAATTGATGAATCTCCCAATGAAACTTGCTTGTTTTCTTTAAACAAAGAAATATCTCGAACGGTCTCGAGTTCGTTATTGTGAAATATTAATGGTTCTTTCGCAGATTTTTGTCATTTTCCTTATTTATAAACTCGACGGCGACATCATAATTAAGGGAGACGTCTATCGTAATATTTTTACACCGTTCCTTCCTCAATCATTCTGAAGATTTCAGATTATGATATGAGAAATAGGTGTTTATTTAACGTTCCACAACAACAGTACGATTTATCAAATTCGTTTATTTCTTTCCGAGAAACGATTCCATTTATATGAACAGAATTTATTTTTTAAATTAAAATTCTTGGTAATCCTCGCATTTCACGACGTGTAAATTGTTTAATTAATTGTTGTTAATAGCAATTTATTTTATTTCCTTCACACCTGATGCTTTAACACAAATAAAACTGAGTTTATTTTACAATCATTATTTTTCTTCCTACCTCCACCTAAGAAACTCCGAGACAAAGTGCACTATTCACGAAATAAAAAGAAAACAAGCCCACCATACCTTTTATGGTCAGATAAATAGACAACCGTCCGATTTTATGCAATGATAGGTAAATTAGCATATAAATTGTCTTTGGGCACGTTATTTGCATCACAAAGAGTTGGAAAGGTGTAACGTAGGTACACAATAAATAAAGACTGCGGTTGCACGAGCTGATGCTTCGCCAAACAAAAGGACCTTTGAATTTAATTTGATTTCAGATTTATCTTGGCACGGCCTTTGTTTCTTTGGGAATTGCATGTTTGGATTAATTCGATGGGATTGATCGCTATCCTTTTGTATAGCAAACAAACGGTGTTAGTTCTAAGCAAATATTGCAAAGAGGACAGATATTTGAGATTTATATCACAATGAAGATTGTGCAAATAACTCAACGGATTTGGAAGAATATTTTGAGCTAAGTAACAATCGATAGCTGAAAGATCACAATGGACTTGTCAATCGTCGAATAATTTTTATTTTACCTATAGAATAAAATAATCCGAAGAATTGTAGTTGATCAATTGATAAATTGAGAAAAAGAAACGATCAGAGACAAACAAAAAACACCTCTCAGCAAATAGCGGTTGACATTATCACCCGAAGTGATTATTTGACGTTACAGCGTTGGGTCTTTCAAAGCCAGTGCTAGTTTCTAAAAGCTCTTCAACAGATTGCCAATCTCCTTTATGTTGCAAATGTCTATGGGCGACGATGGTCACTTTCCATCGGTTGAAACATCGGCGCGCGTAAAGAGGCATTTTGCTATTTATTAAGCTGATCTTCTAGCGACAACTACTTTCGAGTAAAATAGCAAGTGGCTAAAGATGGATTTATTTGTCTGACATGTGATGACGTGACGCATCAGAACGGACCACCACCACAGTTACCGTACTTTAATAGACCTAGCACTTAACTGTCAGTACCTGAGGTATGGGTAGGCAGGATAGGCTAGTTTCCTAAAAAATTTTTTTAGGCCGTTAATTTTAGTATAAAAAAATATTGGACACGTAGTATATTTTTGATTGTCAATCAAACAAATAATTACAAAGTTATAGTGCTTCTCTTTACATTTTCATTAGTTTTAAAAAGTGAAAAGTACGTGTTGAGTAGTTTTTGATAAGCTAACTGACGGACTAATTAAAACTGTTGCTTTTTTACCCAGGAAACATCCCTATTGACATTGACGTATTATGAGGTGATAGAGCATAATACAGGGTGGAAACGATAAGTGATCTCACTCGATTATTTCTAAACTATACAAGATATCAAAAACCTAGTTACGGATCCTGAAAGTGCTTCATGAGCTCTATCAAACGGTATTAATAATAGGTTACATAATAAACTGGATCTATCTGAAAATTCAATGTTTCCAGCTTCCATACATTTGGTAAAGTCACATTATTTTAAAAACTACACATGATATCGTAAAACTGATTACTGATTCTAAAAGTGCTTCACAAGCTCTATCCAATGGTATCAATAATAGGTTACAGAATAAACTGGATCTATCAAAAAATTCAATGTTTCCTTCTTCCATACATTTAGTACTACCACAGTCATGACACTCATCTCTTGACAAAATTATAGCAAGTAAAGCCTAAAACCAATGTTTTTCATGAATAATTTTAAATCAGAATACAATTTACGAGTTTATTTTAAGAGTTTATTATTCAATAAAAAAAGTACACTTCTAATATTGTGTGTCTGGCTGTGGTCTGGCATACATTTAGTATGGAAGCTGGAAACATTGAATTTTCAGATAGATCCAGTTTATTCTGTAACATATTATTGGTACCGTTTGAAAGAGATCATGAAGCACTTTCAGGATCAGTAAACAGTTTTCAATATCTTGTATAGTTTAGAAATAATCGAGTGAGATCACTTAACGTTTCCACCCTGTATAATTATAAATCTGAAGAAGATCTGATTATAGATGAACCACGCTGAACTGTCCCACCAAACTTAATGACAGGGGGGCGCTACCATCGTTCAACTATATGGTTTCCAACATGGCTAAAATCTGAACCAGCGATCCGGTATTGACGGTGGCGCCCCACTGTCAATGTCATCGACAGGACAGTCCAGTATTTTGGAACTATATTCTCCCTGACGTTTGACGTTACCCCTCACCTTACACCCTCCCGTGCCGCTCCCATACCTTAATAATTGACTGAGTTAATCGTTAGATCTATAGTATGTATGAAACCGATTACGTTCTGATAGATCACGACACAACACGCCAAAAATATAAGTCCACCATAAGGGCTCACCAGGTGGAACACATAGAAATGGACCACATCAAAAATTCTTTTAACTGACCCTGATACATTATTTTCTGAAAATTATACTACCTTTGTTTGTCATCAATCACCCGCTTTGCACTGTAGGGAGTATGGAACTCAACCTTTTTTCTTTCGTATAATATCGTTGCAGGTCCTGACAGTTTAACTTTCCCCTGGACAAACTTGATCATCACTGGTTTGGTTTTTATTGGAAATCAAGCTGTAGATCCTGGAATTTTGGAATTGCAGTAGTGGGAACGAGAAATGGGAATAGATAAAGGGGTAGTATGCAAAAAACACATGAAATATTTATAAATTGTGTCTTTATTGAATTATTATGTACAATTTATTTCATGGTAGGTAACTGTGATTGGTTAAATTAACACCTACCTATACACCGTAATACGATTGTTTGCTGTTTACTCAACCGATATTTACACAACATGTTCCTAAAACTAAATAACGCTTACAAATAACTTCATTTAGCGAAATACAAAGATAAATTGTAAGATTGAATTATACCAAATAACGAAATTACATACTCAATACAATACACTTTGCTATAAGGCCTATTACTTAATTCAAAGCAATAAGAGACTTTCCTGGAAACAAAATTGAAAGAGCTTCTAGGACTTACAAATTATTTTCCTTAATCTAATAAGTTAACCTTTTATTTATGTACACTTTATATTTATATGTACAATATTTGATATGCCTTTTATGATTATACTGCTATGTTAGATTTCGTTGGACGACAAAAAATAGTAATATCTTATTCATTGCTCAAATGTAAAGAAGTAAAATTTAAGGGATTGGGAGTATATTTAGACCATGTTTAGTCAGAATTAATAAAGCTAAGCTAAATATTAAAATCAGATTGCGTGAAATAAAGTTGTAATAGGTATATACGCATTTTTTATAGTTAGCGCGAAGAAAACTTTAGTTAAGTTACGAAAATTTTGTATTTTAAAACCTTTAGCTTTATTCAGTATCTTATTATGTACAAATATACATAATATCAATGTACTTGTCAAAATGAATTTCCAACAGAAATCTTAGACATGATAAAACAATTATTATAGTCCAAACAATATTTCACTCTTTGATAAACTAAAGACAATAGTTAGAAATTGTGTTCAACCCGGTCGAGTGCGCTGCGCACCCAGCAGCCGTGACGTCACATCGACGCTCTAATACGGACGATGCGAACGCGGGAAGGTGTGCAAATCGCATTCCAGCAAGGTGTAATAAAGTGTTTGGTTATAAATAATGGCGGTCATATCCATTACAATTTAGAGTTTAACTTAGCCTATCACAATATCAGAACTTAGACTGTTCTACATTTGTAACAATATTATTGAAATCCCTAAAATTAGCATTATTTTAATTATGTACACCTCAAATTTACATTATTGCATCATGTTTATGTATTAATACACACTTTAATGACTGGCTTATGTATTTATGAAATTATCTTTCATTACGGAACGAGGTACAAAGCTATTATTTACTAGTATTTAAATTGACAATGATTACGTCATCAATAAATGAACAATAACTTATCATCTCGTACCCTGTATCAAACATTTTGTTAGATTTCTACGTATACATAAAAGGAGTGCTTCGAAGGAGTGTAACAAAAATGTTTTTAAGTATGGCAACCCCGAAATGATTGCGAGAGTGGGGAGGGGCAATGCTTGATGGCCGGTGGAGCCCGTAGATTCGGCAGTCGGTAGCCAATTGTTGTCGAGAACTGACTGCTCAATGACGTTTTGCATTGTGTCTATAAATAAATTAATTTAATATTAGTTTACGTGTTTTAAAGAACGCAACAATACAGAACAGAACAGAAAGAATATTTTTTCTAATTATTCATAGTAAAATAATTAAAGTGGATGAATAGCAGACAGTTTCTGCCAGTACGACACTATTATAAAAGTAATATGAAGCAAAACGTTTTTTTTTTTAATTTCTTTTGCAATGATTATTTTTCCAGTATTCTAAAAGTAGGTACTCGACTCTACACCACCACCTTTAATTTAGCTAATACTCTTTTAAAATAATTAAAGCTACTGAACTCACCGTATGTTGTGACATCGGGCGTGTAAAATTTTTGCTCGGCTGGCTGGAGCGGTACGACGAAACCTGTAATAACAACTCATTTTAATGTTCATATTAACGTAAGTGCGCCTATTAACGACCCCCCAAAATTTGTATCCTATTACCGCCCTATTTTTCTTTCTTTCATAAAAGACATAATAACAGGTTCCAGAAAACACGTTACTTAAAAAATATCTAGATATGTTTATTGACGTTCAAAACGATTAAAGTTTGTGTTCGTAAATAACCAGTAAACGGAGTTATTTCATATTAAATGGGACGCGCCCGCAACAGACGCACTTTTCATACTGACGCGCTCCCAGCTACTTAAGGTGCACCTTGTTATTAATTAGCGATTTTAACATGTCACAAATGAGTATACCAACATGTTTTTGCATAACAATATTAATTCGTACTTTAGTTTCCTTAACCTTCCTATACCCGCGCGTTGGTCTCTCAGACCGACGAACTAATAATTCGTAGTTTTTTCAAAAAGTATTATCTCTATGACTTTGCGGTTTTTAGTAGCTTCATGATTTGTGGCCAGCCATTGTTTAGTGTTGGGCGATCTCTAATGCCAAGTGTATGTATGTCACTTTTGGCTGTTATTCGGTCTGTGAGACCGACGCGGGTATACGTGTAACTACTTCAGGTATGTTACTATTGTTTTATTTTACAATATTACTCAATAAAATGTATTGTCATATTTTAGTGGCGTTTCATATCAATTAAGTATTACTGTATTTTATTATTATTAATTTGTTTTAGCCATTTTTGTCGTCACAATGAACAAAGAAAGGATAAGGGCGCTGTTAGAGTGTGAAGATTCGGACTCCAACTATGATGACCAGAGTGACAATGATGAGGTGGAGGATGATTTAGAAGTGCAGGAGAACAACACCGATTCTGAGCAGAAGGGTGATTTGTCAGATGCAAAAAGTATTTTTGTCATTATACGAGCATGCAGTTATGGTATATTCCGGTTATTATTCCACTGAAACCACTAGTGGGAATCGAACCCGTGCCTCTTGCAATATACCCAATTGAAGAGCAATATTCTTAGCGGTCGGTAATAGAAACAAAAAAAACGTTAATAGAAACACACCTCGTCTATAGGTCGGTAATAGAAACAACTGCTTATTCAGATTAAATTGCTATTTATTAATTATTGTGTGATTGAATACTCATTGTTACTACTTGAATTCAAAGATTACTTCATCATTGTTATAAATAAATTAAAGTGTCTTTTCTATCACCACGTCTTATATCTAATTTTCTAACGTTTATCCGAAGTCAGCTTAAACTGGCGGTAATAGGCGCATTTACGTTAAATAAACGTTATTTGCGTTCGTCCGTTATTCACTTAGTTATGCGCAGAATGAGCCAATATGTAATTTATTTTTGCAGTCCCTCATTTTGTGAGCAGTCCTTTATAAAATACGTTAATGTACTTTTGTGAGCAGTAGTTAATATTAAGGGGTAAAATTGGGGCATTGAGTGATAAATTTAGATTCTAGATAGAGATGAATTAAGTATTATGTCAAAGGAAATTATATTGGAAGAAAGGTTCTATCCGAGAACTGTTGAACCGTAACTTGGAGTTTATCATAGTTCCTAATATACTCAAAAGGCCAAAAGTGTTGTAGATTTTTTAAATCTAAATAAATATAAAATAACTAAACTCAGTGACTGACTGTAGATGTTGTGACGTAGGCATCCGCTAAGAGAGGATTTTACGAAATCCACCCCTGAGGGGGTAAAACGGGATCCATGCGTACAAAGTCACGGGCGGCCGCTAGTACTTATAATAAATTGAAATAAAGTTTGTTTTAAAACTTACGTGGTGGGAAATACTCCGTAGTGGTCGGAGGCGGTGTCGTGGTGGTCGTAGTAGTTGTAGTCGTGGTAGTCGTCGTCGTCGTGGTTGTAGTGGTGGTTATTTTGATTTCTGTCAAATGAACACTTTTGTTGAAGTTTTGGCTGTAATATTTTCGATGGTCTCCTATACTGTAGGCTGGACTTAATACATTAAGCGTTAGCTTTACTTTTATGACAATTAAACAGTCTTTCATAGGCAGTCCATTGGTAGAATTATTAATCTTATTCTCTAGCAGCGCAAAAGAACATGAAATCCCATCTTTTTTTATCTCCGTAGGTAGATAGCCGCTATCGGTGTTTCAGCGATATTCAGAATGACATAATTGCAAAATGGCCTAATTTAAAAAATGAAAGGGTAATTTTTCAAATTCAAAAGTATACCCATACTTTTGAATTTAAGCCAATTAACTTCGGTTATATTATTACAAATCTAAAGTTAACAAACGAAGTATTACTAAGAACTTACCATACAACCGTATGGTTCCCTCAGCTTTGCCGATGGTGTTCGTGGAAACGCACGTGTACGTCCCGGAATCCTCCGTTATGAAGTCGGTTATGGTCAGAGACAGCCGCGCTTGGTAAGCGGAGACGCGCTCGTCTGATATATGGTATTTTTCCCTGGAAGAAATATGTTTTTATAGATTTGATCTTTATTTATGGCACACTGTGAATTAGCTTAAGAATTTGTTCCCACTGAGACATCCTGTTTTTAGCAGAAACTGTTTTTTCAACGATCCCGTTATCTATATTTATAAAAACGAATGGTATTAAGTGACTCACTTATCACGAAATCTCAGAAACTAAAGTGCTAGGAGTCTTAAATTTTGCATGGGGTTCCTTTTAGAAGGTATTTAGGACGGGATTTTGAAAACTTAAACCTCTAAGGGGGTAAAACGAGATCCACGCATACGAAGTCACGGGCGGCCACTAGTTTAGTATACTTGTTTTAATATTAACGTTCACACGAACATATTATCGTTTGCAGTGACCCGCAAAAAAACGATCCTTCGAATTTGTAATTCAAAACACACAGTAATACGTATGTTCACACGGCAGTCCAGTTTTGCGGGATCAAGTGCAGGTTCCCAAACTACCATCCAAAACTGGACTGTCGTGTGGGTGGATTGCCGTGAGAACGAGCCCTAAAATGTACAGGGGGCGTAGCGTCAAACGCATTCGATGTCGACTGGCGTAAAAAAGTGACATTATATGTATGACGGATTGTAGGTACAGCGTCCCTAGCAGAAACTTTCAAGGACTAAAATCTTCATTATATTTTTTACAACACATCCAGACGTTATGGACTCTATCCAGACGAAATTTCACTTTATAAAAATACCAAAAATATTATAATGGCGTTTTCACGTCATAAAAAGTGCCCCAATCGACTATGTGTCTGCATCACTATTGTTTGTGAACTGACGTGTAGAGGCAATCACGAATGTACTAGCTCAAAGTTGGAATACTGGCTGGAAACTGACGTGCGCGGATTTAAGTTTATTTTTTCACGGAGAATTTAAATTTCGAACTCAACCCGCAAGCTGCAATGTTCTACAATGGAATAAAAAAATGCAGAATAAAAAGGTTGGTTAAATGCAGAACTTGTCTTGAAATAAATTTGACTCGACACTGGCTAACGGTCACGCAAGCCATAGAGAAAAACAAAATGTAAACGTTCTTAAATCAAAATTAAAATAAATTCGCGAAAGTTATAAAAAAGACAAAAAATTTTTACACACTGTGTTCTTTTTACAGGACATGGAAAAAGAGATAAAAAAAATGAAAATCATTGTAAAATGTTATAATTTTCTTCTCTGTTGATTAACTTACCCAGAGAGGATCATTTCTTCGCCACCTTTCAGCCAGTAGTTGATTGCCTGAGGGTAGGCCTCTACAAAGCACTCTAGCTTCGTATATGAACTGGTTGGTACTCCTATCACTTTTGTAGATACCACTATTGAAGGAGGAACTGTAAAAAAAATATCATTTTACTATGTTTGTTTCTAAATGTTTAACCCTCTAGCTGTCAATGTATGATAGCTACATCTTTTGGAAGTAAATGCAACCCATTTTAGTAAGACTTCAAGAATTTTTGTGGGTAAGTTTTACGAGTAAAGTAAACTTTTTTATGTTATTGGCTGTGCTGTTAGTACTTAAAATAAATTTTTGCAACAGCTTTTGACTATTTAATTATTTTTACTTAAGAAAAGATCCTAACAGCTTAACTTTTCACTGAAAGACATTCAACTTATTAATACAAGAGAATTTGAGTTAAAAAAAAAATCAGGTCATTTAGTCTCTAATTTACCAAAGGTAAAAGGTGGATTTAGCCTACACTTGCATTGAATCAGTTGTTGTACTGTAGATATATATACTTACAATTAACACTAAGCATAATTCTCTTGCTGACGGACGGAGGGACGTCGTTGGAGGCGATGCAGAGGTACGCACCCATCTGCCGGCGCTCTACCTTCGTCAGGTTCAAGTTGGGACCCATGTACATGTCCACTGTGTACAAACGTTACAAATTAGTTTTTCTTATGATAAACGAAGAAGTTTTTGAAAGTTTCCTGAAAAGTAGTAGGTACTGATCTAGTGAATTCCGTTTATTTGTTTTTTAGACCTTTTAAAATTAGAAACAACTTATTTGCCACCGCTGTAGGTATTAATTGTCATGTGAAGGAATAAAATAATTTTATTGTAAGTATAAGCTTATTTTTATTGTAAATACATACATACAGGGTGTCCCAAAAACAATAGATAACCCTGTAACCATCGATAGGCCTCGCTATGGTCTCCCTAACGTCCAATTTTGACCCCAGTAAAAATATCACCGTTTTCAAGATTTTTAAGTTTTTGTGTATTTTTAGAAAATTGCCACCTGCGATTATTTTTTCTCATGCCATTTCTACAAATGAGGATACTTTTCAATCTAGTTTTTTTCCTTATCACAAAGGATAGTTGGGCTATCAAAAGAAAAGATTAAAGTTCAACAAACTAGTTTAAAAGTATGAAAATTTTAAGAAATTGCAGAGAAGAAGGAAAAATTAATTCATTGTCTTGCACGTTTGATCAGCCATCTTGTAAAAAAAATGTAGGAAGACCATCGTGCCCATTACCTTAAAAACTTCCTTGGTTAATTGAGATTCTGAAAAGGTATCACAAGCCTATGTATTTTGTATTATTTTTATCTTATGGCTACTTGAATAGCAACTAGTATGAAAACTGCAAAAATGAGTTTTTCTCGTAATAGTTAAACTTGGACTGCATAGTGGCATTAAATACAAATGGATAATTTTTAGCGTAGGAATTTAAATAGAGCAACATTTTAGCAACATTTTATCATCATCATCATCATCATTTCAGCCATAGGACGTCCACTGCTGAACATAGGCCTGCACCCCAATGATTTTCATAATGACCGCTTGGTAGGGGCCTGCATCCAGCACCTTCCTGCTTACCTTTATGAGGTCATCGGTCCACTTTGTAGGTGGACGTCCTACGATGCGCTTTCCGGTACGTAGCCTCCACTTGAACCCTGTTGCCCCATTGGCCGTCCGTTCTGCGTTTTTGTGATTACTTAATTTTTGTTTTACACCTTATAAATGTGCCTATAGACCAGTGGTTCCCAAACTTGTTTTGTCTACTGCCCACTTTGAGAATAAATTCTTTTTTAGCGCCCCCCATTTTTGTAGTCAAGAGTCGAGCTCAGTCGATGTCTAAGAGTCCTCCTAGTAGATGACGCCTCCCAAGCCTCTAAACAGCGTCCCGATTTTATTTCTGGGTCTCTTACCGCCCCCCTTTAATATCGTTTCGGGGCGTTATCACCCACTTTGGGAAAGACTGCTATAGACAGATACCCGTGATGATACACGGCTCGGAAACGTGGATTTTTTGCACAGCGTGCTATGGAAGGGGTTATGCTCGGGTTTCTTTACGAAACCGTATCAGAAATTAGGAGAGCTGTAAACGAACTAAAGTCGCTGACGGATCAGTAAGCTGAAGTGGCAAAGGGCAAGGCACAGTAGTTCGCAGAACTGAGGCAGCAGGGTTCAAGTGGAGGCTACGTACCGGAGAGCGCATCGTAGGACGTCCACCTACAAAGTGGACCGACGACCTCATAAAGATAAGCAGGAAGGTGCTGTATGCAGGCCGCTACCAAGCGGTCATTATGAAAATCATTAGGGTACAGGCCTATGTTCAGCAGTGGACGTCCTACGGCTGAAATGATGATGATGATGATGATAAAATGTTGCTTTATTTAAATTCCTACGCTAAAAATTATCCATTTGTATTTAATGCCACTATGCAGTCCTAGTTTAACTATTACGAGAAAAACTCATTTTTGCAGTTTTCATACTAGTTGCTATTCAAGTAGCCATAAGATAAAAATAATACAAAATACATTGGCTTGTGATACCTTTTCAGAATCTCAATTAACCAAGGAAGTTTTTAAGGTAATGGGCACGATGGTCTTCCTACATTTTTTTTACACGATGGCTGATCAAAAGTGCAAGACAATGAATAAATTTTTCCTTCTTCTCTGCAATATCTTAAAATTTTCATACTTTTAAACTAGTTTGTTAAACTTTAATCTTTTCTTATGATAGCCTAACTATCCCTTGTGATAAGGAAAAAAACTAGATTGAAAAGTATCCTCATTTGTAGAAATGGCATGAGAAAAAGTAATTGCAGGTGGCAATTTTCTAAAAATGCACAAAAACCTAAAAATCTTGAAAACGGTGATATTTTTACTGGGGTCAAAAATGGACGTTAGGGAGATCATGGCGAGGCCTATCGATGGTTACAGGGTTATCCATTGTTTTTGGGACACCCTGTATAAGCATGACTAATTGACTATGTATTTATTTCGTTTCCATCATCAAGCAGAGCTTGGAATCAAATAATAAACAAGTGGCTTGATTACAAAAATACAACATCAATTATTTCCTACTTCGCAAACATAAAACAAATAATAAAACAGCTCAATTAAAACAAAATCCTACTTCAAAATGTGAAAAATATTACTGCGGCCAGAATAACTGTGTAACATGCTCTCATAATAACTCTTTTGCGAAAATATATCGTAACAGTGACTAGGAGAATTAAAGTACTAGCGGGCACAAAGAACCCTCCTGCCGCGACGCCGTAAATTGAGACTGTCAGAAGCATTTATAAAAACTTCCGCGGTCCCCTAATTTTATCCGGGACTTCACGGAAAACAATTATTTTATGAATATTCATGCGAGCCAACTTCGACCGCGAGCATTGTAGGGTTAAATTATACATCGTCATAAGAATTGTATATTTGATGTGTTTTACGAAGTTTTTTGGCGCGGAACCTAGGTTCTTCTCTCTTCTGAATATTTATTTAACTAGTCTAATTACAAATATACTGCAAACTATACTATAATATGCTAATAGTAGAAACTGTATGTCTTTTTGTCTTATTATTATAGTTAACATCATCTATGTATATTTTACTACGAGTAGGTACAAGTACATAATCCTACTTAATATTATAAATGTGAAAGTTTGTTTGGATGTCTGGATGTTAACATGTTTGCTACTCTTTCACGCAAAAACTGCTGATCGGATTTTGATTAAACTTTGCAATATTATAGTTTATAATCCAGAATAACATATAGGATATAATTTATGACGATCTGTGACAAACTAAATTTCACGCGGGTGAAGCCGCGGGCAAAAGCTAGTGTAACATTACTTAAACTTAATTAAGTTCTAACTGTAAATATTCTAAGTCCTCTCAAATATTCAGACATCGTGGAGACTAAATTTACAACCGGTGGCTTCATAGTCCGGACAAAAAGAATTATCTTCTAAAAAGAGTTTAATTTTGCGCATTTCTGCTAAACTTAATAAAAGGGCAAAGTTCGTATTATAGCGCAAAGTCAGTTAATTATAATTCTTGTCTGGTAAAATTGTTAGCAACACACGGTCGGAGTTATGGCCGGTATATCTCTTGGCCGGGACTTAGTAAAACTATTTCTTAGTAAACGCCGGCTACGGGTAACTTATGAAAAGCTGACGGAATTTTAATTTGATTATTCTTGTAATTGACTTTTGTAGTACAAACAAATTAAAATAAACATTTTGTTTAAGCTAAGTTTATGTGAAAGTATTAAAATTAAAGGAAAAATCTGTGTTTCTTATGCTGAATGTGGTATGCGTTTTTGACATCCTACTGAAATTTTCGTAAACGAAGAAGTAGTAGGTATGACTTTTTAATCGACTTCAAAAAAAAGGAGAACGCCGTAGAAAAATAATTTGGCATACTTAACTAAGAAATGTCATTTTACTGGGTCCGTTATATGAATGCGTTAAAAATGTCCCATTACCTTTCCGAAGCTCTCCGACTTCGTTCCTAAGTTGAATGTTAGTGCCATCTTCCCGCCGCCAAAGGATGCGTGGGAGTGGCCGCCCGTCGGCCTTACAGGACAGACTCACGTCCTGCCCCTCTCTCGCTACCACGTCTCCGCTCGTACCCTCGTCTACTATGTTCGGAGGCACTGGTGGAAAAAAAAGAAGAAAGGTTAAGAAAAACAATACTTAGTACCTACAATCACAATGCATTACAATTCTAATAGCGTAACTATTCAAGGAAAGTCAAACCTTCGGATCAAGAGAGTTGAGTAAGCACTAGATCTAGACCATTTGAAAATCTACACACAATAGCTTGGATTTATTTGCACTTAGTCTATAATTAGCTTAAAACTCCGAATTTTATGAAAATGTATCTGCCACTTACGCACAGTAAAGATTAAAGGCCGAAAAGAGGCCTAAGTAACTCTAATATGAAACAAAAGGCCGAATCTTATATAAAAATCTTTATTAAAAGTTCTCCAGTGTTTTGGAGAGCACTTAAACTAAGGGTCTTTTAACCACTTGGTCTATACAGTGTGGTATTGTTTGGCGAAAAATGTGGAACCCTCACGAATAAAAATTTCTCCTCCAACTTCTCTTGATTTTCGTAGTCCAGTACACAAGCAAAATAAATATATTATATTTTGTTATAACAACAGGCGAAGAATACACTTTATAAAACGCAAGTCTAATTTTATCTCAAAATTAATAGAATAGAGCGCTACAGGTAATTTATACCAGACGTTTGTAACTCGCCGCTGAGAGAATAAATTTCCCCGGAATACACACCTACTTTATTCGCATTTTTCCCTGTTCATTGAATTGGATTTAAACATAAATCTCGCGATACAAATCTTTAATAAATATTTGACTGAATTTAAATTAATTATGGCGCCCACTGTGAGCACATTTATTACGAATCATAAATTCTTATTTTGTTAGTTATAAAGCCCGTATTTTAACACTCGTAAAATTGGTTTCGTAAGCTCACATATCGTTAGCGATACACATGCATAATTATATGGCTGCTCAGAGTTAATTTTACTCTCAATTAAGCTCTATTTACAAGTCTCATTAAAATTACAGCACCGACATCGCACAAAGTAACAACAAAGGTAACTTTGTTAATTTTCGATATTACAATGAACTTGGATAAGCCTTTATAAAATAACATTTTCATTTCTCAGGTACAAGGGAAATGACTTTATTTATCAAATGGCACCACAACTTGATTGTAACATCCAGCTATTTTTCTAGAAAGTTTGTAGCGAACGCTCTCGAGGAAAAATGGGCCCGTTGGGGCCAATGTACAAATGTTCCCATCTGACGGCCAAAGCCGTTTTTGCATAGATAGCGGTGAAAAACGTTTGAAAACGCCAAGCTTATCTATGAGCTAGTGAAACACTAGTTCAGTGCTCACGGACAGAGCGTGTCTCTCGTAAATCACTGGGCCGAACGATGTAACTGTATACACAACGAGCTAGTACGTGAGTGCTCGCCTATTAAGCTACGTGCCCATCTGAGATCAAAGGCCCCAGGGCACTTCCGTATTTATTTGCTCGGTTTTTCACGAGCCCTATTAATTTCAGTAACTGCGCGGCTTTTTCTACGCACGTCAGTTAGGTAGTTTGGGCAGAACATATCAAGGATTGTGATCCCATGGGTTTGAGGGCGCGCATCTAAGCAAAAATAAATTGTTTTACTACGTGCGTGTTCCTACAAAAAATATTACGCAACTCCAATTTTTGTAATTATTTATTAAGCCTGGATGTTTTGGTTAGTACAAGGTTTTTAATTGTAATAAAAAATTATCATGTCATCGAAGATAAACTCAAAAAGAAAAAAAAACCCTATGGGCGAAGTTATTTTAAAATTCAATTCTATTTCCATCAAAAGAAGGATAATATCGCACCCTTCCTGGAATAAGTACGCAAGTGAAAAATGCCAACTTTTCAGGAGCGTAAAAAAACTGTCCTAAAAATTTATTACCATTATTAAAAATATGTGTTATACATCAAAAGATATCTTAAAATGTCTGTGAGGGGCCTATGTATTTATATTTAAAATACACTTAATAGGTTTTGAGAAAAACATAAAAAAGAGCGTTGCGTANTTTTTACCCACTACCCATCTCTATTTGGGACACAATCACAAATAAAAACAATATTTAGAGTAATTCATTGTCTGTCTATAGTAGGCTTTCGCTTTAGAACGATTGATTAAATTTTGATTTTTACCATTAAGTATGTGGAACGTCTTGCCCGCGTGTCATCGTGCCTTTTGCCCGCGGGCAAGAATATCGTGTAATTTTTGGTATGTATAGCCTGANTCTATCCCTATTACAACGTTTGCAATGATCGTTTGAACTAAGCCTCTCCGAGCGCGCCATTCAACGCTTCGTTAACAACGAAACTGAAAATGGCTCTAGATTTGTAATTTTGATAAAGACAAGTTAGATTTATCCTCTATGTTGTAACTCGTCTCACTTGAAACTTGAAAATGGCACAAATAAAGTCGGCCACGACGTGTACCTATTGCCAATATCAAAAAATAAGAAGAAAAATATTTATGACGTCTATCAATGGAACTATAGTTCCAAAATACTGGACTGTCCTGTCGATGACATTGACAGTGGGGCGCCACCGTCAATACTGGATCGCTGGTTCATATTTTTGCCATGTTGGAAACCATATAGTTGAACGATGGTAGCGCCCCCCTGTCATTGAGTTTGGTGGGACAGTTCAGCGTGGGTCATCTATATACACAGATATGGATACAAGTTAGATTTATCCTCTATGTTGTAACTCGTCTCACTTGAAACTTGAAAATGGCACAAATAAAGTCGGCCACGACGTGTACCTATTGCCAATATCAAAAAATAAGAAGAAAAATATTTATGACGTCTATCAATGGAACTATACACAGATATGGATATAGATGACCCACGCTGAACTGTCCCACCAAACTCAATGACAGGGGGGCGCTACCATCGTTCAACTATATGGTTTCCAACATGGCAAAAATATGAACCAGCGATCCAGTATTGACGGTGGCGCCCCACTGTCAATGTCATCGACAGGACAGTCCAGTATTTTGGAACTATAGATGANACAAACTACTTAAAGGTAAACAGAAAGACCAAGGTTTGGTAATACAGGGTGGCCCAGAAGAAAATTCACTTTTGAAAATTCAAGGAAACGAAAACTGTACATTTTTATAGAACTTTAACTATTGCAATTTATAGAAAATTTAATGAAATGACATTGGGAACTTTTTGCCCCACTTTTCGAAAAGTAGCGGACACAAACGAAACCTATCACAGATGATACATACTAATATCCAATGAATTTCCGTGCTATTTTTTACTCTCTCTTATATGGGAATATTGAGAAAATGAAGTTTTAATATTTTATTTTATTTTACATTTAGGTAACATTTTTGACGACCTCCGTGGCGGAGAGGCGCACACACCGGTTTTCAGGCCAATCCTGAGGTCCCGGGTTCGATTCCCGGCCGGGACAATATAGAAAACGATCTTTTCACATTGTCTCTGGTTTGGGTGTGTTGTGGTTCGTCGTTCCCGATTTCCATAACACAAATGCCTTAGCTACTTATTTTGGGTTGGAGTAATATATGAGATCTTGTCTAATATTAATTTAAGTATTTATAATATTTTATTTATTTATATTATTTTATTTATATTTTTTATTCATTTATATTATTTTATTTACTTTTATTGGTTACTCTGTAATGCCAAACAACATAACATGTAAAAATATCAAATCATTTTAGACAAATATATTTTCAACTTAGACTCGTCATATCTCAGAATTCCCATATCTCACAACATAGCGCTTTAAGTGAATATACCGACAAGTATAAAGCTTTGAAATAAAATACGTTTCATCTTTGTCCGCCGTGGGGCATTTTCTCATATTAAAGTTCCCAATGTCCTTTATTTTTAAATATACCTTTATTAAATTACATCGCCCAGGAGATTTCCTTGACGCTTACAACATTCGATCAACATACATCAAAATCTTGGAATGCGTTCGTCAGAATCACTTCGAAACATATTTTCAATTTTTTGCCGAATGCTCAGCTTCTGTTGCTGCATGGTTGTTGGATTATAAAAGTATACTCTATTCTTAATGTAACACCACAAAAAATAGTTTTCTGGAGTGAGATCAGGGCTTCCTGGTAGCCAGGAGATGTCACCCCTGCCTGAAATTATTTTTTTGTGGGAACATGTCTCTTACCATCTAAATGCTCTCAGTTGAAGTGTGACACGCAGCCTTAGATTAATTAATCTTAGCACGCAGCCCTATCTTGATGAAACCAAGTGCTCCGGTCATAACCTTGCGAATCTTGCAGCTTTGAAATCAAAAAGCTTTTCAGCCTACCAGTATAGCGCTCTCAAAAATTAATCATCCTTTCAATGCAACAAACCAATTAGGCAGGGGTGAAATCTCACTACCTCTAAGAAGCGCTAATCTCATTCCAGCAGACTTCTTTTTGTGGGGTTACCTTATGAGCTACTGCCTCTAAGAAGCGGTAATCTCATTCCAGCAGACTTCTTATTGTGGGGTTACCTTATGAGCAGAGTAAAGGTACTCTAATAATCCAAAAACTCTGCAGCATTCATCCATCCTGCATCCATTTTGAGGTAACTCTAGGGGCTCCTGCACACGACGTCGCCACCGCGCCGCCGCCGCGCCGTCGCTGCGCCGCTACACTGTTCATACGCACCGAGTAAAACCGCCGCCGCGCCGCCACCGCGCCGTCAAAGCATAATTTCGCGCGCGGCGCGGCGGCGGCGCGGCAGCGGTGTTCACGCGGCGCGTATAAACAATGCAAAACGCGGCGACGCCGCGAAGGCGCGGGTGCGGCGCGGCGGCGGCGCGGTAGCGGCGTCGTGTGCAAGAGCGCTTACGAAAGTTTTCCAAAATTTTGATGTATGTTGACCGAATGTTGTAAACGTCAAGGGAATCATATAATATGTATGTACGATAAAATTTATAAAAGAAAGTAAATTTCAAAATAAATTGCACTAAATTTCCTTTAAATTGCAATAGCTAAAGTTCTACAAAAAACGATATTGGAATATTTTAAAATTCATGATCACATAAGTACCTAAGTATATATTACAGTGCGTTTATTAATCGTTTATTTATATGTATATGGATTGTGTATACGTATAAAATTGTAATTTTTTTTCCTGAAAAAAAAAATTAGCTAAATTTGCCGCCCCTCTAAATCTGCCGCCCTAGGCACTGGCCTACTTGGCCTATTGGTAAATCCGCCACTGGGTATCATCTATCATCCTTCATTCTATCATTTAATTAACCCAAGTCCCATCCTTCTTGGTCTCATTTTGTAACTCATAGAGGAATTATCCTCTATGTTGTAACTCGTCTCACTTGAAACTTGAAAATGGCACAAATAAAGTCGGCCACGACGTGTATTGCCAATATCAAAAAAGAAGAAAAATATTTATGACGTCTATCAATGTCAGTTAACTGACACTTTATATACGTCAATTGTTCTGTCAAAACTGTCAACTGTCAATGTCATCTTACCTATCATCTGTCTGTGTGCTGTGTACGACGGTCGTAAAATTGGTTTTCCACGCTTTTAGTAAAATTAAGGCTAGTTATTTAATAAAATAAATGGTGATTTTATTTTGAAACACAATGTGGGACAACGCTATTGAATATTTGAAGGATCCACTACTAGTAGTGAAGGTGCAAAACTTTTTCGGAGTGATATACAAAAGTACTCGACAGAGCAATGAATCATCCGAAGTGTTACATTCCGATAGGAAAGAGTTCTTGACCGAAGAGTTTGACTTAAAGCAGCACAAGCGGATTCCTAGTAACATATCAAGTAGTTCGCAATCGTCCCAGTCGTCGTATGATACGGATGTGTCCCAGGAGAGTGGGAAAGGAGAGGTGGTGTGTACGATAAACAACAGGTTTTGGTATTACCTGTTCGTGGTGGGTACGGCGCTTGGGGACGAAATATTCTACGCGACGTTCATCCCCTTCTGGTTCTGGAACATAGATGGCGCTGTCGGCAGGAGAGTGGTCCTGGTGTGGACCGTTGTGATGTACATAGGTAAGTATAGTAGTAAATATTGGCCCAAATATGCTCTTAATCTCAACTAGAAACTATATTATTAATATACTCTCTACTAAACTAAATATCCAGTAGCCTTTAGTTTATTTTTTTTTATTTTTCTTCATAGAAAATTCTATTTCTGAATAGGTTTTATCTACACCTTTTTATTAAGATCAAGAGTGATACTCATTTTATTAATTGCTTTACAGGTCAAGGAATCAAGGATATTGTCCGCTGGCCACGGCCTGGATATCCCGTTAAAAAGTTGCAAGAGAAATGGGCGATAGAGTATGGTATGCCTTCGACACATGCTATGGTTGGGGTGTCGATACCATTCTCAGTGTTATTCTATACGATGGATAGATACCAGTATCCCGTGCACTGGGGCACAGTAATTGCTGTCTCGTGGTGCACCCTGATTTGTGTGAGCAGAGTTTATCTTGGAATGCATAGTGTTTTGGTAAGTTGGTGAATATGCTTAATTATTCATATCATTTACGTGGTCTTTAGTTACATTTTGTATGAGAACATCATTGTATTTTAATTAGTAGAGTTTACCTTCAACGATAATGTTAGATGTTAGCATATTGTGTAACTTTCTTAACAACATATCATCAAAATTACTTATCAATGATCATGTTTTGGTTAATGTTGCCATAAAGCTAAGATAAGAAGTTGATCTCCAAAGAATAATTTTATTATTAATTAATTGTTTATAAATCAACAATTAAGGTGAATCTGAACTTGAAACTGTATGTTTTAATTTTAAAGAGAATAATAACATATTTTGTAAAGCCACAAAATTTTAAATTCCAGGACATAGCTGCCGGTCTATTCCTGTCGACGAGTCTTCTGGCTGTGCTAATCCCACTCGTGGACTGGTTGGACGGAGTTCTGCTCTCAAGCTACTGGGCTCCAGTTGTTGTTATTGCTCTGTCTATACTTGTGATAGTATTCTACCCTAATGCAGACAAGTGGACCCCTACAAGGTAATTATAATTAATTATTTAATTGATCAGGTAAGTAGGTAGCGCTTGTCAAATGGACATATGGACGTATTCTAAAAGCATCACCGGTGCTTGGTATAGAACTCACAGAATACCAGTATGAAGTTTGGTCCTCAGATATGAGTATGTATAGACTAGAGATGAGACGTATTTACTAGAACAGATCCACACACTAGGTATTTTACAGTACTAGGCGGCACCTATTCCATTTTAACCCTTAAGTAACATCCTTATTTTTAGTTACACTTTGAACACCCTGGGGTAAAAAAATACCCCAAACGGAAATTGAAAAATTTTAAGTCAATATTTAAAATCAATTTAATTTGTGAATAACAATATATTAATGGACTCACTAAATTATACTATTGCTTTAAAAGAACATCTATCTAGCATAAAGAAACATCTTAAATCAATCATAACAAAAAACAAAGAATTGTTCATTGGCAACTAATAGTATCCACAATGGTCTTCTAGAAAAATCTTAGGAAGGTATTGTGGGAACCAAAAATTTACACTAATCGGACATTGAATAGATGTTTTATACATATTTTAAACACAAAATGAAATAAATCGAAAATTTCTGGCTTTATAATAAAGGAAAATAAAAAAACTTATTTTTTCTAAAATTATGATTTTTTTTTATTTTATTCCTAATTATTTTTTCAAAACACATCAGACACGCTGAATTATTACGTAATTATCACTTTTGAGCTTTATTTCTGTGTCGAATTTATGAACGCTGTGTTCTGAGGGGATGCCTTCAAAGTTCGAAAAGTATCATGTAAATCAAGCTCTATTTATTTCTGTGCATTCTCGATACAACGTGCTACTTAATCGTCATATAAATTTTTACTCATTTCGTTTACATATTGTAAAAACCTATTAATAACATGTTAGGTGATGATAAATTAAAGCATGCGTAACTAACACCCTGGGGTAAATTTCCACCCCAACTACCTGTACGAGCCAAACGGATGATTTTTTTCACATCCCGTGTCTACGAGCTTAAGGCGCACACTCTGCATTGAGAATACACAAAACGACATTGCACTAGCTTCGGTAGAAAAAAAGATATGTCAATTTTTATGCGCCTGGGGTAAAAAATTACCCCACGGTGTTACTTAAGGGTTAAAAAATACTTGATCCACCTAGTATTTTATAAATTACACGATTTCCGACCCTACCCTGAAAGTAATAGAGGTTATTATTGCGTAATCCGTAGTCGTGTATTACGCGCACCTAGTATTTCTCGCTAAGCTTATGTGGGAACGTAGAGATTCACTCCGTCTCTGTCTAACCAAACAAATATGAGCGCGACGAAGCAAACGCACACAAACGTAGTCAAACCATATTCATGTAAATAAGAAAAAAGTATGTAAATATTTTTATGAAATTGATATCTTTTAAATACGCCAACTTTTAAGTTGACAGTCCAAAGCCTGTTGAAGTATGAAGGGAGGAATTATATTATTGTTCAATTTCAAATTGCATTATTCATACTACGGTTGTATCTTTTCAAAGAAAATTATATTTTAAAGTCATAATACTTGGATTAGTCCGCACTAGTCGCGTCAAGTATGCTAAATTACTACGTACTAGGTGGAACAGGTATTTGGATCGAGTATTAATAAATACTCGGAATAGGTGCACCTAGTATCAAATTTACCTAGTATAACCCATCTCTAGTATAGACATATTCATATCTGAGGACCAAACCTCCCTATACCACCATTTTGGAAACCACTATACCCAAAGTTGTCTGGGTTACAACTCATCTAATACAAGTTCCCAAACTCGGGAATGGGAAATTTCGCCCGCTGCCCAGCGGTTGGATCGGTAGGGTGGTGTATCGTTCTACAAGCAGGGCCCATTCAATGTTCGCTCCCGACCCACCACTGGTTCGCGACCCATAGTTTGGGAAACCCTGGTCTATACTGTTCTTATCTTTAGTATAGTATTTGTAAAGAGACAACATTAATTTTTATCATACAATTTGAATAATAAGATTTTTACACATGATACTATGACTCATTTAGATTAAGATAAGGTAAGTCTAAAACTGCGTAGATTATTAGATAATAATTTATTTATTTAGATGACTTGATACATTGGACTCTATCCATTCCTCTCTCACCAAGGAATATTTCATTATCCTCCTAAGACCCCGCGTACATAATTTTGCACAAAATTAAATACCTCTGTCAGTCACAGCTTTGTAATGAGGGCTATCGTTTTTATACTTAACAGTTGGCACCCCTTGCGATTGACAGTACCTTACTCTACAGTGGCGCCATCTTGATGAGTACAAATACGATAGTCCTCCTACCACTTTCGCGCTCACCAGTTGGCGCCACTGTCTTCGCTACTAGCAAGTGACAGGACCTTACTCTACAGTGGCGCCAACTGGTGAGTGCTAAAACGATAGCCCTCATTAAGTTTTAGTCGTAACTGACCACTGTGCAATTTTTTGTTCATATTATTTAAGTCTTCTATTGTTTTTTCGAATCTTGCCGCGCTATATTGCCTATGGCATCAATGTCGCCAACCAAAAAAAGGTAAAAACTGTCAAAACCAGCTGTGACGAACGAGGAAAATGCCACTTTGTCGCGGCCTCGTGCTAGAAGAAAGTCTCTGGGTCTGACAGCAATAAACTAATTTGTGCATAATTTGGTCTTGACGAGTACCATGTTATTTCAAGTCTGGGTCTTAGGAGGTTATAAGAATTCTTATTTGTCTTTGTTCTACCCCTGATCGATACCTATATCGCCATATAGACATCTAGAATGTCCTGATTAGACGGCGCCGTAGTTTCTTATCACATTGTTTAGACATACAGATTGATTCAAGCCTGGGGAATGTCGTACAGACTGATTTTTCCATCACTTGCGTTCAGTTTCGCAATTTTAACTATCTTAGGTCACTGAAAATAGGAGTTGTCCTATTTTCCCCAGTCGCCACCCCACACTGGCTCATCGTATAGTCCATTGGTAGATTGTCTATTGTCGGCCGTTTGGTGTAGTGGTTCAGAACGGACTACTATGTCGAGAGGTCCCGGTTCGATTCCCGGCCGGGCAGAAATTGAAATGATGAATTTTATTCTGTGACGGGTCTGGGTGTTTTCTATGTATAATATGTATGTATTAACAAAAAAAAAGTATTTAAGTATGTTTATATCCGTTGTCTAGTACCCATACATAGTACAAGCTATGCTTAGTTTGCGACTAGAAGGCGCAGTGTAAATGTCCAAGGATATTTATTTATTTATAGTAGACCACGTGGCGCGGATTTTTTAAGGAATTATGTCATTTATAAAAAAAAATATCAAATAGTATAACGCTCGTATTCACAAACCAACCGGCTTTTACCCGTGGTCCCCCCAACATGTCCCCCTGGTGGGTCCACGGGTAATTTTTTTTACCCGTTGTCCCACTATTCTGAACAGTGTTTGCCAGTGGGTCTACGGGTAATTTATTTTAACCATGGTCCCACCGCACTAAGTGGCAAACATTGCAAGTCACCTAGGTATCTATAATATTATAAAAAAAACTATAATTAATTATAGAAAATAATTATAGGTATGTACGGCGCCATAGATTTATAAGACTTAATTCCTAAGTTCATGTTTATTTGAGAATAAAGGATACATCGAAATTAATAATTGCAAGAACATTTTTTATAATATCTTCACATCACACATGTGCCTTGGTTTAACCGCTCTAAAATCTTTTTTATCTCATCAGGGGCGACACAACGATGATAGTGAGCGTGTGTGCGGGCATCCTCGTCGGATCATGGACCAACTACCAGCTCGGAAACATGCACGCCAGCAACCTCTCACCCCCCTACGAGATCATCTGGCCCTCCATCGAGATGTTGGGATGCACCATCCTCCGAACCATACTGGGATTCTGCGGAGTCCTAGCAACCAGAGCGATCGGCAAGTCTTTCTCGTACGCATTCATCTGTGCCCTCTTAGGCAAGGACAAAAACGAACTGCGCAACTCCGAGAACAGCTTAGACAACAAAAACAAAATCATCGTCGAGTTGTGCTACAAATATTTCACTTACGGAATGATAGGGTTCAACACGACATACGTTTTCCCTAATGTGTTCGATTTGCTGAAAATCAATAGGCCTACTTATTATACTGAAATTTAAATGTTTCGGTTGTGGAGTTCGAAATTTTCACTGCCCGGGGCTTCGCTCGCGTGGGTTTAGCCTTGTAAAGTATCTCGCAACATTCCAGTTAAGTAGAATATGCTGGGAGGTAGTTTAGTGGAATAGTACCTATTCAGAGTGAAATTCAGTGCCTGGTGTAACCACCTACTGCTAACGATATTTTTTGTTCAAAGAAATTTAAAGCGATCATTGAAGTTTTCCTAAGATACAGAAACGAAATCTTTCAGTTTTCACTATTAAATAAAAGCTTGTCTAGATTAGTATGGTGCGATATCAGAGGTTTGATAGTGAAAATGTTATGGAAGATTTCATTAGGCGTAGTACCTAATCACCTTCAAAAATGTCTATAGTGATAAAATAGTGGTGTGTAAAATGTTATTAGACAATTATATCGAGAGAGATTATTCATTATTTTTTCATAATTATGCACAAATAAAACATACTTAGTGGAAATTTCGCACGCAGCATTTTACACTGTGTAGCGAATACGTGTAATTTATGTAATGAGTTAAAATTTAGCATTGTATAACTGTAGCCAATCGTCGGAAAACCTTGAATATTGATGGTTTACGATCAATGGTAGAATGCGGAATTCCTAAAATAGAATATTCCAAATTAGATGTGGATACTTCAAAATAAACGCCATCTCGTTTCCGCAGTCTTTTCAAGTTATGACACGCGGTGATAATATAAAATGGTTTTTTTTTTTCATTTATGAATAGGCTCGTGAGCGAGACATCTATGTAAATTAGTTTTGTATTATCGTTTTATTTATTTAACATTTATATTTTAGACGTAAATGTTTTTTAAATTTCTACAAAATGCGAATAAATTTATACACATTAGCACAACTGATACAATAAATTGTCGTTCATTGATTCTAGAGATTGCGCCACTATCAATATTTACGGTGAGGCATTGGGTAGCTAATCGAAATATTTTAATTGTATTTGAATATGGTTTCACTTGGCAGACAAATAAGTGGGTGTGTGTTGTGCCTTTAAGGTGCATTGTTATTTTTTGTTATCAAACTGTCAGCCCCTCTAGACAAAGCAACACTAGTGACAGTTTTAATTTTGAAATCGCTTCACGTAGAGAAGTATTTTTATTCAAAAACGCCGCGCCGGGGCGAAACGATTTCGGAATTACAACTGTCACTTTGTCTAGGGGCAGGCGTAGGTTCGTGTTCGTTCACTCCATAGAGGAATTATTGGTTAGATTCACTCAGCACATTAATATTTGAACACCACGGTTTGTTTTAAATTACAATATATTTTTGTACACGTCAATTACCTGAATGTATAAATGTAAATATTGAAAATTTATGTAACTAAGCTAGTTTGAGTCTACTGAGCTACGTGGTGGTGAAAAGGCAGTGATTTCCAATTAGTTTTTTTAAGTTGAGTCCAAATAGACGCATGGCTTAGTTTCAAAACTTTTATAGGACTGTCTAATTCACAAACATTGCTATGAGGTCTCACAGTGCGCGTGAACGCACAGGGTGACCTACGAACCAATCACAAAGCTCCATAATCTATTCAACGTTGTGTGTTCGATATGCTGGTTCACTTAAGCATGCATCGATTGTGAATACGGGGGTAATTTTAATAAAGTATATTGACAGTGTATATGAGGTTAGTTCAAGAGGTATATTTCAAAGCCTGTCGCGTCTCCCGTGGTAGTCTGCGGGTTCGAATCCAGCTAGTAGTAAAGTCATTGACTTGACATACTTTATTTTATTAATTTATTTTAGTGTTTTATCTGTAATCTAGTCGCTATAGTCTGATAAGTTTGAAGCAAATGTAAGAATTGATTGATTAATTTCCGCTCAATCACTCCCACACTTGAAATGAAAATTAAATCATTCCGCACCTCTGCAATAATCTAGGTTTAATGCATAGTAATACCACTAATTGGGAATCGCTGCAAGATTTTAGAAGTATGACATTACATCACAATAATTTATAAACATAGCACAATAATAATAGGTCTGTCCGTTATTTGTATGTACTAGGGGAATATGAGTGAATGACATTGGCGTTATCGGAACCCCGTGTTTCAACACGCTTTAGTTAGTCATGGGTTTCTCATGTTTAATATGGGTCGTACATTTTATACAATAGTTTGCAACTAGTAAAATAAAACGTATTTTCAAACGATTTTAATATTTCTCACTACTTACTATTTCTATTAATACTGGATGATTTTTTTACCGACTCGATATTTGATGCAAAAAATCCGCTGTTTTTTTCCAAAAGTTCGATACAGGTTGACCAAAATGTTTTTTGGTCAACCTGTATCGAACTTTTGGATTATACATACAGCTGTTTTTTTGCGATTTCAGAGTTGGTTTCATAGTGAAAGTTGTAATTCATGTGTAAAACATCCTGTAATACATAATATCGATACGTTAAAAATCATCCTGTATAGGTATAGCTCGTTTCATCCACGAAGACGCGCCTCATCAATTTTTGGTCGAGGGAAGCGCGGGGTGCGGTGAATAATACATTTTCTACAATATAATTATGTCTTTATCGTTTTTCCTTATATGTAGATAACATTATGTCGAATATAAAATAACGAGTACCTGTAATCTGAATATTGTTTGTTGTTAGTATTTGTTTATCATAGACTCCGCCTAGGTTTTTCCATTAAAGCGAACGCATGTAACATCGTAATGATTTCCATATTTTCCATTCAATAGCCCAGAGTTTATTAATTGATTTAATTATATTTAATTCCACTACGATGTTATAATAACCATTTGTAATAAGTAATCATTTGTTATATACAGTTCATAATATAAATATCGAGTAATAAAAATATCCAGTGGTGAGAGAGACTTCTAAATGGTTAAATCTTTCATGACGTACCTACCTATATCCTTTGGCCGATTTATTGTCATTCATTTGTTAAACAATGAATATGAATGCAAAATTGACGCAAAACAAAACAGTTGCTATGCTTGTTTCTAATGCAAAATTTATGAATTACCGTCATTACAAAAAACAACATACATTATGTAATTTAAATTTCTTAGTTTTTTGTCGATTTTGACGTCAGAATTTACAAATGATTATTATTTTGTGAATATGTTTTTAATTGGTAATGCTTATCTGTAATAATAGCTCCGAAATTGTATCATAGTTGTGTGTAATAGGATTTTTATTTCAATTGCTTGATGCGTTCGCTCTAGCTGTCACCTCAATTAAATTTTTACCAGTCAATCCAAAAATTAAGTTTTGACTGTAATATCAATGTACAATTGTACATGTAATCAATACAGATGTATCTTCGAATCCTTATCTATGATATTAAATTGTAATTTATTTTACACATTGTTGTAGCGTATTAATTTTCAGACGTCAAAAGATTTATAGTAGGTAGCTTAGTTGTTAAGCCGAATGTTGAGGCGTACCACATGGTCTTCACGTGACAAACTATTGTTACGCAGTTAGTCTATCTATTATATAGGGTCGATGATCTACCATTGTATGCCAAAGCTGATGTCTATCGAATTTCCGTATGCAAGCCAAAATCTTGAATTTGTTCAAATCAAAATTACGAACTCTGTTAACTACTAATTGTGTAAAAAAGCACACATATCTACCCATGTTATAACTGCTTACGCTTACAGATAAATATTATTTTCACCCATCAAAATGATCGATCAAATTAATAAGAGATTAGTAGTAATTCAGGTACCTACTTTGGCTTCTGTTCAAGGGTTAATTAAATATTGAAACATTCCACCCGAATAGGGACACCTGGCATCACCCTACGGCTTTCGGACCATATCGACTTGGTGTACATTCGACAACGACATATGCGTGTAGTCAGCGTCAAATAGTTAGTGACACCCAAAGTAGTAATAAAAGATCGCAACACGTCTTTGTTACAATTGAAATAAAGTTGTGTTGTCCACTGGGTGTCGCGAACTATTTGACGCTGACTGTACTAAATACCTACGTCATCTGCGTCTCGGCAAATAATACGCATCAAATAAACAATTTGTTACTAGAAATTGCAGATGTTTACGTGTAAATAACTATGTTAGTTTTTTTTTTTGTATCTTATTATTTTGTTGTTCCATAGTGCCTCTTATTTATAAGGTACAAGCCAACAAACGCGAGAGCTATGTGGCGTGTGCCAGTATGAACAATCTTGTGATACATATTTTATGAAGTTACTGCCATCAAAAATTAAAAGTATTTGCACTATTATAAGTTTGTTTCATTTCAATCAAGTTAAATTTAAGCGTCATAACTTAAAGGCATCCTACACAATGTGACAGGAATTTGAAATAATAATCAGGTTGCCATAATTTTAATAAATATATTTATTAATATTATACATTCAACGTAACGATACTTACATAGAAATAGAATACATAAACAATCGCTTAACTATAAGTACTATAATCATAATAACATTAAAAACTATAGGGTATAATAAATATAGTGAAGTTTGTTAAATGTTTGGTTAAACCAGAATAAAACTGGTTACTTTTGAAAGACCATTACCAACAAAACAAAAGTAGTCAAACTTTGGACTTCTTGAATAAAATGTAAACAAAATTTCTCTCCACATAGCATTAAAACTAGGTTCTTATAAATAAAACGAATCTAGAATCAAGGTGGCTAAGGCAATACTGTAATGCGTATGCTACTTATAAGTACAATAAAATATTTTGTTTACATTTCTTTAACAATCCCGTTCCAGAATGACGTCAATTTAGAATTTGGCACTTATAAGGATTCATGTTTTTGTTACATACAAAAAGATAAATATTAAAACATCTTCCAAGATTTATACAGGGTGTTTGGTAAATGGGTATATGAGCCGACACTAGCCCATGTTATAATGGGCATATAAAATATGGTATGGTGAAGTCAGAAATTTGATATCATCATTTTATTTTTTTAATTTTCATACAAAATAAATTTTATAAAATCCGATTTGTATGAAAATTAAAATAATTAAAAAGAAGATATCAATTTTCTGACTTCACCATACCATTTATATGCCCATGTTAACATGGGCTAGTGTCGGCTCATATACCCATTTACCAAACACCCTGTATAGTACGTAGACCGTTTGGACAGTAAACAGCAGTAACGTTTGATCACGTTTTGTCTATGCCTAACCATAGAGATGGGAGAGAACATTATTGCTGAGTAGGTACTGTCGCCTTGTATTGCATAGTCGCTCCGTGCTCATATTTTTATACAGGCGTCTTAACTTAGGCTTTCACCAGAAAGTTAGCAAGACCGCTCTAGCTTGTCTATAGGAACCATAGACCTTTTTAATAAACTTGACAACAATGGTGCTTTTATCTTAAGAAATCTGCTATTTCAACCAGAGGGCCTAGTGTGAGTTTAGATCAAATGACATTAAATGTACGACGAATTGTACAGCGCCCCTAGCGGGAAATGTTCAAAAACTAAAATTTTCAGTTTGATGTAAACTCACACTCAGCCCACTGTTCAATAAAATTATGCAGAAATAATTTAAAAAAATACAACAATACAACTGAATTTCAAAATGTCATGCTCTTTTGGGCTCTATTTCAGTTTAAAATCCTCCAATCTTGGCTCTGATCATCATCTATAGTGCAAACTTCTATCGTTTAATTCTATATTGTCTATGGGTTGCCAATTTTCTATTGTCATGAATCTAATGATGAGTTTGGAAGAAAATAAAAGCTGAAATTAATATACTTTCGCCTATAAGGCAGTTTATTATGTTTTACACGCCGTATCCCTTTAGAGGTTGAGCGCCATTTACATTCAAATATATTTTACCATCCACACATCTCCACTCGGGCGCCCGCGTCTCAATTTTATGTTTACGTTACAAATCAATGTTTACAATATAGGAAACTTTAAACAATATTAAACAAGACTATAATTAAAACTATGTACAGCTACAACGGATTTTTTATTCGAGAGCAAAAATTTAGTGTCAAATTATAATTTTCAAATTCCTAAATGTTGCCGTAAAAATATTTTGGAAAAAATATCGACTTTCCGGCAAATGAATAATAAATATTGTCATCCCTTCGCACCAAGAATGGCAATGCAAAATATAATCCATGGTTAAGAATTTGCTGAGAATTTTTCATTTTTATCTCGAATAATAAATCGGACTACGATCTAAATACCAACGGCATGAAAACTTTACATTAAGAAAAAACTGAAATGTTTTGTGTGTAGTTTATTTGAACACTAAGGGAAGACAAGTATTACAAAAGGTACACACGACTCCAGTTTATGTTATTTAGTTATTTTACACATGTTACCTGAATTCGTTGCACGTTATCGCGCGCTCTACACACAAAAGTGACGCACTCATATGCTCTGATTATCATCTGTGTAAGTTGACTGTCATCAGTCAAACCCACTCGTACTATGTTGGAATTACAGTAGGTACTACAGCTTTGTAAGAAATTGCATTAAACATTTCGAGCATTATCAAGTAACCGTCACTTCTTTCACACCCCATTATACTAACATTTTACATTTCTACGTCAAACGTACCAGAGTGACCGTTGTAAGTATCACTTGATAGCTTTTTACATGAAAAAAGAACACTTACTTTCAGCAATAGCAATCGAATAATACTCGCAATAGACACAACCCTGACGCGATATTTGATATCGCGTCGGGTCCTATACATAAATAACTATTAAGATAGAAACATGTAGAATCATCACACAGAAGACGCTACTATAAAGACATGCTGGGGACAGCTCTGATCGAAGCACCCTCGGCAAATCAGCCTCGATTCCGTTAGGGTTGTGAACGGGCAACATTTTTGTAGCGATTTTTGGCTAGCATGCGACAATATTCAGACTATATTGCGCTATATTGCCGAAATATGTTGCTCGTTATAACCTTCAAGTGTGACAAGTTAACACTTAGGTCGGGGTATCACGCGACGTTTATGGGGTTCAGGTTATCTCTGAGGCGCTCGAACAGATTTTCACCTTCGCTGTCATACTGGAACAAAAGAAAAAATACTATTAATAAATCACATAGAGCCCTCTATAAAAAGATTTTAGCAATTTAATTCACAAAATCAGTGGTGCACTTTTTTTTTTTTTTACCATATATACCAATAGTTTTCCGCAACATGGCGAGGGTTTTATGTTCCTGGTCAGGCTATACAATTTAATGTTGTGAAATAGCATCTATTACGGCTATGTAAGATTTACTATGCACTCGGATTATTTATATTGCGCAATTATTTTTTCTAAAATTTGAGGGAATAATTAAATATTTCTGCAAGTCATGAGAATCATCTTAAACAAATAATAGTATGTATTTCAATCTGGTTTATCAAAGCAATGACTCCATTGACCGCAGTTTTATCTATCAACAACATGGAGTAACGTTTAAAAATGATAATGCAGCAATTGAAATATCATTTTATTATATCCAGTAGGCATTTATATTTAAACTTATTAGTTAATATTCAAAAGTCAATTTAAAAATGTTTTCAAAACTTTAGCGTCACAGAGGTTATCGCTATTTACTTATGTCACCTCTGATAAACTCGGGCAATAGTGGTAACAGTAATGTTCAGATTACTTGACTTTAATGAGCTATATAATGCATTAACTATGTTTAAGATATACATTTATATTGTGATGTTTCGGAAGGCCTAGGCCACGTATTTTCCCATTTTGCTATGATTCAGACTGATAACTGTACAAAAAGATAACATAGCACCTATCTACTTGGAAATAGATGCCATTTTGCAGCAAAAATGTACTCGGATTTGCTGTCGAAAGAGTTTAAAGTTTTGACAGTTTTTTTAAACTGAATTTTTTAGATTTAAAAAAATCTTAATACTGTTTTAAAGGTGTCAGTGACGTCTGCGAGTGTGTCTAACTAAGGAACAATGGAAGCTTTCCAAATGCTACGCCGATCATGACGCAACGACTAAATTAAGCTGCGTGCGCGCACTATGCCGTCCGATCGCGCGAAATGCAAACGTCATTTATTATTGAAATAAATACAACAGCGTATCAGCAGGAAAAACGTATAGACCCATGTTATCGGCGTTTGTAGTTCGTAAACAAAATTTTCCATGATACTTTGTACTGGGCTAGTACAGGGGGAAAATACACTGTTTATAAAATTGCCAATGTTAGCAATTGGTAGATTGACATTAACCCATATAAATAGGTGATTTAACATTTACTTAATGTCCACTCCGAAAAAATCTAGCATTTGAAGGATTGATGAGTGAAATGGGTTGAAAACCCAGTAAACATTTTCAAGTTTTCATATCGCCTTTGTAGGACAAAAGATCATGTTTGATAGGAAATAGTACGGGACTATTCCCACCGCTGCATCTCCTGTGTAGCCAGGATCTACGGCTTGGAAGCCAACAAAAACCCAACCAGTGTAAATGAGAATCGTGAATCTTAAAGATACTCACATCATCATCATCCTCAGACTCGGAGTCAGAGTCGGCGTGGACATTGGCGAACAGGCGTTCGGCGGCGGTCCGCTTGGCGAGCCGGCGAGGCGTGCGGCCGCCGTTGTCGCGCGGATTCTTCACGACTCCCGCGCATTGTTCCAGCAGGTATTGAGATAGGCGCACGTCGCCGCGACGCGCTGCGATGTGGAGAGCTGTCCAGCCTGCTAGACCCTCCTGGAAAAGACGCACACGGTTGATAAACTCATTCAGAATGTTAAAACTAAAGCCTGGTCCGTGTGCACGTAGAATTTTGTCCAATGACCAGAATGACAAGCTACCCATCCTTATCGCTCGCGCGTAATTATGTTGCTGTCGCGCTCGCACATTCACTGCGGCCGCCCGTCGCACAGTCGCGATAGCAATATAATTACGCGCGAGCGATAAGGATGGGTAGCTTGGGGTCAATGGACAAAATTCTACGTGCTCACGGACCAGGCTTTAGAACTAAGTACAATTTAGAATCTTTATCATCTCAAGACTATGCCGGTGTGATGACATGTTACAAAACATCTAAAGGTCCAGTTTTAACAGACTGTCTTAACATCGAATACAAAAATCTATCAAAAAATTAGTTGGAATGTACTGGTCGTACTGGATATAAGCTTCCTCGATGAAGAGTCAACGAGTCCTGTCTCTCACTTTCTCATAAAGCCACTTCCAGCTTCTTGAGATCTGGGTCATCCCTGGCTACGTTTCACAACGCACTTACTACACATGAAATAGTATAATTTGTCAACTTCTAAGTATCGTACTTAGGCTTATAGTAATCATAATGTCTACAACGAATTCATAAATCCGAATCGCTTAACCCTTAAACTGCGAATATAAAAACTGTCAATCTGAGGCAACATAATATGTCTGGCTACGCAGTCGAGGGTTTAAGTAAGTAGGTAAACACATGTAGGTACCTACAGAAATCATTACACCTATAAAACAATGACATTGACATAGCTAGTAGTAACAAAAAACCCCGACGCAAGTGGATTTGTCTTATCAATTGATCGACTGATAGCGGAGGGTTTTCCTCGGGTAATCACGCCACTCGCAAATGGGGTCGCGAAATGGAAAAAACAGTTCATTTCACTAAAAATAATATAGATTGCTGGCAATTTCGTCATGCAATTCTTATTACCAAGAGCTCTCCCTTTTTTCTTTTTCAGAGTGAAGATATAGATTGTGGAATTCAAATATGTAAGACTTAACCAAAATAAGTTTTGAATTATCGCACCTTGCAGTTTTCTTCAAATAAGTCTATCTCTTTTAATGGACCCCACAATCTGGGTTCTTTATTTTAATTTAGAAACCGGAAGTAACGCCATATTCTACCCTACTGATGAATAAGTTTCAATGAATCAATACGATTGAACTGACTCATGTATCTCGCGTGAATGAAAAATAAACCTGTTTTGGGTCACCGAGAGGATGCGTCGTCGCCTTCCGAGAAAAACTACGATCTACTTCCTACCGAAGAAAACGTCACGACCAGCGCGAGCGGATTCGTTACGTCATAGAGGGAGGCTGGCAGCGAACGCTCAGTTACATCATTTGCGAATTACCTGCTTACAACGTTAAAACCTTTCTAACCTGACACTAAAACCTCCGACAAACAATTTCTCGAGGTGCGACATACTCGACATTATAAGTTACTCAGGCTTTCTCCCATCACGTTTTACGGACTACTTTTTGGTCTACAAACGCAGGGACTTGAGAAATCTAGCGCAAACAGAAACAATCACTGTACACGGGACTATTCCCATCTCTTGTTACTGACGTGAGAACTACAGCTTGACCATAAAACTCAACCAGCGAAGGCCAAATTGATAAATGATACGACAGTAATGTTCAATAATAAACAAGTATTATAACAGCGGATTTGTAGTGGATACTTACTCTGGCGTTAATTTCAGCTCCGTAGTGGACGAGTGTCTGTAAAGTTTTGACATGTCCTGCTGCTGCAGCTGCGTGAACGCACGTTTGACCTGGAACAAGCAAATGACAATATTTAATAACATACGAACGCGGTTCGGACTTTGGAAACAGTCTGTTTAAAGACTAGGTATTAACTAAAACTTAAAGAATGCCTGTTTAGGTATCTCATATCAATACAAGCGGGTGGAATTTCCAAAACTACGGTAAAGTATTGTCTTTGTTGACGTAAGGCATGGAATTTACGCGGCAAGGTGCGACAGGCAATGTCAAAGCAACCGGTTGCCACCCAAGTCTGTAACTACTGCGAAAACTTTTCAAATTTCGGGTGATTCTCGTTTGAATACCGTATTCAACTTTTTCCGACTTTCGACCCTGTCTCATTATAACGTATTCAGAATACGTTATAATGAGACAGGGTCGAAAGTCGCGCCAAAATAGGTTGTTAGTAATTACAATTTAACTGCTTATTTTGTACTAATTTATAAAATAGACAAAATCATCCATTAACTAGGATTATATCTCATTCAGTAGGCCTAAGATGCGCGCCGCGATAAGCGGCTATCACGCCATTTTATCGATTTTGCCCATACATTTTGACGTCGATAAAAGTTATCACGGCGCGCATCTTAGGCCTACAGATCTCAATTATGATTACAAGAATTTGAAGGAAGGTTAAGAATTTACCGCGTACTCTCAATTTGACTGGTGCGTTATCATAACTCTACAGTAATCTAATCCATCGCCTGAAATCATTCCATCCATCTACCAACTTATTCATTTCTGAGTTGAGATTTACATAATTAAATGATTTGTAATTTGTCCCCGAGTTACATGCGCTGGTTTTCTTTATCTCTTCTGCATGCATAAGTAATTAAGCTACTTTACTACAGAAAATACTTGAACGTAATAAGCAATACATAATGCCACGGGCGCTAATCAAGAATATGCATGTTTCCTTGACGTCACACTCCATAAAGTATACATTAACAGGCTTTACAATTTTTAATAAAACCGGCCCTAGCATTGTCCCTTGCGAACACAGTACACTGAAAAATTAGAAAGTATCTCATAACTATGCACCGACATAATCTATCAGCAAGATATCTTGACTAGAAAAATTGTTTCTTATTGAAATAGGTTAGAAATGTTAGAATGTTTGATTTTCATAGATGCCACGCGTTGGACAAGCTCCAAGTATTATTTTAAACGCTCCCAAAATAGACTCCCGTTCAAAAACGGACCGCTCCATTTAAAATACAAGGATTTATGTAAAAACGTGTGTGAAGCAACACACAGACTATAATTTTTTTCAAAGATATTTTTAAAAGCGGGAGGAATGTGACATTTTGATATCATTCCAAAATTTTGGTCTGACATCGTTAGTAAATTATTATTATGCTATAATAGCTTATTGGTATAAGGACTGGTTTGTCTGTATCTAATCACATTCAAAGTCATCGACCATGAATAAGAAGTTCTCGATCAAACGAATCTAGTAATTTAGCTATTAAAACGATTAAAGATGATTTTATCCGTAGTATGAAAACATCCGCGTTCATTTATTAGTTCGATGACAATGCGGTAGTAATAACCGGTTTCGCAGCCAATACGTAGATCAGAACACGCATCTCCTGCAATGCGTTCATTATTTATGATAATAGAAGGCCTTTTTCTATGATGTCACTCGCAGTTTTTTTTCTGATTAGGACTTTTTATTGAGATGAAATCTTCATAACCAGTTTTGCACCTGCTTCAATCTAAAGAATAGGATCCGGATCGAATGAAATCTATTATTATCGGACAATGGAAATGAAATCGAGTTGGGAAATTCTACTTTCTTAGATTTTATAGTTCGAGACTAAATTCACTGCATGCAATGACATGGTTTTCGTGAATACAGGGATATGTAAATGTATGTAAATATATTGTATATGTATGTGCGTGAGTCTTGTCAGAGCGGCGCGAGTAAGACAGCGGGGGAGAGGGGGGCGCGACGAGGCGATGGGGTTTTCCCAACTATGCGAGTGACGGTCGACGCTGCGCGGGCGCCGACGACCACTGTCCTCACCAAATATAGCAATATCACGCGCCACTGTTTTCACTGGCTCGGTTCTTTATCCGACTATGCTTGATTATGATCAAATGATGATGAAATATCGCGGCATGCGACTCGGAAATGATTTGCATGGAATGATGAGATGTTTACATTACCGTTCACTGACGACACTATCATAGTGCGCATCGATTGATGTAAATGAGTTTTGCGGTCAGCAATCCGCCAGGAATTATACCTATGTAGGTATGATTTGCGGGGAAAGTTAACGATTTAAATGCCTATAAAATGCAAAATCCACAGTATTAATTAGTAGGGAAAACATAAATAGTGCTAGATGGAAATAACGTATTACGCCATCACCACCATTCTGGTTTTGACTAGTTTGTATCGGAATATTTTAATATAAAAAAATATGGTATCATGACATGTTTGCGTCGATGATGTTATCAATATGATTTTAGTAATATAAACTTACGTAAGTATCACAAATGAAACAACAAAATGCCCGTGCGTAGTGTAAATACCCAGCTTTGTCATTTACACGGGTTGGCTGGATGTTGAAATTTTCATAACGTAATGAACAAATAGTTGGAAGGACAATGATAAACATCAGCGGCCCTCGGAAAACCCCGCGCTCCACAAAATCATTAAGTGCTTTTAGTTAGATAGCGTATTATCATTTTAACAATGTCACGATAAACAGAAAGAATTAGTTATACGGTTAAACTGACTGTTTACTTTGACAAACTATATCCGTAGAGAGCAATTTAGAAAGTCTGTTAGCGTTGTACATAGGGCATGAATATCGGAATCTCGGAATCTCGTAATATCGGAATCTCGGACTGCGAGATCCGATATTTCAATTCCGATATTGAGCGACCCAATATCGTAATATCGGAATCAGATAAAAGTTTTAATTGAGATTTTAAACAAAGCGTTTAAACTCGCCACAACCTGCCACAAAGCCCAAAGTACATGATTAGCAAAGACCAATGATTTTCTCATGTCTCTCACCATAACTTTTTGTTCCACTGCAAATATTTTAATATCTTTACTATTTATGGTAAATTTAACTTGTTCTAAATCAATTTTAGCATTTGCCATAGGTACTTGGTCAACAAAGAACGACATCTCAACTCCCTTTCAAACATTAATTTTACTGGACTATGGATCGTCAGTCCTGCCCATTGCCACTTCTGCTTGCTAATCCGTCGGGCTATGTCAGCGACCTTAGTTAACGGAGCTCCTCATTTCTGATTAGATCTCGTAAAGAAACACCAAGTTTATCCCTCTCCATAGCACGTTGTGCCCTATATTCAAAGGCCACGTTTTCGAGCCGTATATCATCACTGGTAACACACACTAATTATTCGACGATTTACCTCTTTTCCAAATTCATCTAACTACCTAGCTGATCGTTTGTCCGAGATAGACATACTTACTTGTCAACAATCTTTTAAAAATTAAAAAAAAAAAACTGGGTAAGGAGCAACATGGACATTCGACATAAGTTTCGTTTTTTCCATATTCATCCGAAGGCCTACCTGTTGGGAAACTCGATTAAGATCTTCGAGCATTGTGATAAGGTCTTCCAACGGTTCTGCCTTAGTACGCAAAACAGACGGACGATGAGGCAGCAAGGTTCTGAAGTGGAGGCCACGTACCGGAAAGCGCAGCGTAGGACTCATAACCACAAGGTCGACTGACGACCTCATAAAGGTAGCAGGAAGGCGCTGGATGCAGGCCGCCACCAACCGGCCATTGTGAAAATCAGCATCGGAGCCTGTGTTCAGCAGTGGACGTCCTATGGCTGACATGATGATGATGATGGCTCGTGGTTTTGTGAGTTCATCGATAATCAAAAAGGAACAAATTACAAGCATATTCAAGTTTTTTACCACTCTCTACAATTTTTGTAACACGTGATTTGAATGACTCTAAAATTCGTTCCGCAAACATAAAACAGGGTAGGTAATATAATGAAGGAGTAAAAGTTTGTTTGATACCGGTGATTTTCAAAAACACTAATTATATGCTAGTCAATATAGGCTCATTATCAGTAACCATTCATTATCAGGTAATCCGTCTGCTCGTTTGCCTCTTGTCACATAAAAAACCAAATGCAATGGATACCCATAACGTAAAAATGGTTTTAAAATACTTCAATTTTATGAAGTGCTGTTTTGTACCAAATTAAAGATTTTAATTAAACTCATTATATTGTAAACAATCCAGAATTCTTACGAATATAACTAAATATTAATTTTATAGTACATGAACTCAATTCCGATATTAATATCGGAATTCCGATATTGAGATCTAATATCGGAATCCAATATCGGAATTGAAAACCTTCCGATATTACATGCCCTAGTTGTACATGTTTGATTTTACTTATTATGTACTTATTTGTTGAAAATTAGGCTACCTTATCTTTACGTTTAATCCTTTACGCTTATGTTCCAGTCCATTATCTACTGGGCTCTTCAGTATCATTAACTTATTGATCGATTAGTGATGGAATTTTACCAAATATATTCTGGTAAACCCATGTCGTGGATTCAGCGCAACGGCCCGATTACCAAAATAGAAAGCTTAATGAGATAACATTGGCTGTGAGAACGGTCACACGGCTCCACGACTCGGGAAAACCACGGCGCACGCGCTCAGCGCCTCTTTTGTGCGCCGGCGCACTTTCACGTGGGGATAACCCAGCCAGCCCCTGTCTGCCGCATTGCTGTCACACTCACACGACCCACGGCACGTATGCCAAATTGCGAGACGTGGGTTTTTCGCGCATTGTTCTGGTAGCGGTACACCGCTTTTAGGGCTAATTAGGCCGTTACACTGATGATGACATTAACCTTCATAAGTACCTTTGCCTGTTTGGTATTCAGAATAAAAACAAATACCAAAACTATGGGCTTTTCCATCGCATCAATTGGAAATTAATGCTAATGATTTTAGAATTTGAGAAAAAACCCGGTGTTGAGAGAGTGAGCGATTTTGTTTGTTGCTTGTTCCCGCTGAAAACCAGCTTCTCGGCATGACGTTTGTGTCATGTCGCGATTTTTGCTGAGCGGGCGCCTATTCAGCATATGTTTTTATTTATTGTTTGTTATGTTTTTTTTTATGTACTTACTCTTGCTTTGTATACCTTAAATTATAATTATGCTGAATAAACACATTCTTATTCTTATTCTTATTCTTGTTCAGACTGGAGCGATCGTTCGAATTTGATTTTTTTGTAAGCGCGAACACGTAACAGCTGTTACAGCTGCAACAGCGGGGTATCCCAGTGGTGCGGCAGATGCTTTCACTCGCGGTGTTACGCGACGCCGACACCGCGGGCCGACGGAAATACCCACGAGGCCGACACGTAACCGACTGTCTCAACTCAACCTCTCAGGTCGTACATTCAAATTAAGGTGCTGCTCGATCTTAAACAACTGTCGAAACATACCTACCACACGCCGCGCCATAATTTCTTTGTGAAACGAGTTCTCTCGTAACGATGGGTAAAACCGTATGCAAATGCGAGGCAGTTAAAAGTGGAGTTGAAATCTTTTGCGCCTCATCGGAGGTGAACGAGGCTCGGGAAACCCAGAGGCAGCGGCGCATATCTACCTGCGTTAATATCTTTAAAGCGATTGGAAATTCCATCGTTTGAGACGGTTTGCGCGTTTATTTTCTGGTGTTATTTGTGTGACATTGGACGGGAGGCCTTGGGGACGTTACTGCGGGCTCAGCGAGTTCGCACGTAAACAATGTGCTGACGCGAGAACTGGTTCTGAGGCCCCAGTGAGCTGACGAGGATCCTAGAGCGGCACGTGAGCCATGACGCGGCGCTGGGAACGCCGCCGGATCACCGCTCGAGGACAAAGCACTTATTTCCATTGAAGGAAAACCACAAGCTGCGTACTGTTACTTATTAAGCAATAGGAATTACCAGCCAGTAACCATTATAGACCATGAACTTGTGCATTCTTTTGGAGGGGATCGGTCATTGTTTTTATTAGTTGACTTGCAGCATACGCTTCACATTCGGAAATTACTTTGCAATAATTTATCATCTTCATCAAGCATTTATACTAATTTAGAGACGTGGTAAAAAGCTGTTTAAAATGATATTATCCGAAGTCCGGTTCAACCATCACTTCAGATGATGCTTGTTGTAGTAGGATATGGATATTTATGCATTGAAGTAAAACATTAGACAAATACCTAAACAAAATTTTACACATTTGGCAAGCTTCTCGAATGAAGTACTTTTTTTATAACATAATTTAAACGGTATTTCTGAGCGGGATCGGTGGAAAAACCTTCGAATGGGTTTTTACATTGTGATTCAGTAAGGACAGCAGAGTTCATGTGCATAAAACTTTGCCTTTTATTATATTGTCTAGGTATTCAGTATTGATTACTAACTAGAATACCTGTTTGTTTTAATATCTTATTTTAAGTAATGGCGTTCGCGGCACGAATAGTCAATAACTGTAATCTCATAACTTTTCAAGGTCTAAAGAGCCAGCAATTTCAATAGCTACGTTTAAAAATTCATCTAAATATAGATATGAATGAATGAATGGTTTGTAAAGCTGATCAATAGCAAATTGCTGCGTTTTTTTAAATTATGTTGCGGACCGTACATGATGATACAGGCAAGTTGATGACCAGGAGGAAATACCACCGACCTTTTGGAACGCGTCGGAAACGTCTGGCATACTCAGCGCAGTCATTTATTTAGTGCCTACGACGAATCATAAAATAAAGATAGACATAGACTGGTAAAACCATAATCCGCCATTGTTCATGATGGATAATCAACAACAGAATTAATAGCCATCATAATTAGTAAAGTTAGGTCAACGCTCTTGATTGTACGTAGCAAAACTAGCTAATAAACTGTTCCCAGTTTGTTTTAACAGGTTTATCTAAAGAGGAAAACGTCGAATGTCTTCAAATCCAAACCTAATAAACACAAATTATTAATAAATCTAAGATATTACTAAATGTAACTCACCATTATAATCTTTTTGGTTTAAAATTGGTCCTAGTTTTCTATGGGGCTGTTCGATGATGGGCGCGAGGAGTGCCTTCAGACAGTCCACGTTGCTGGTCTCCGCTGCTATATGGACAGGCGTCCTTCCACAAATATCTCTGACTGCTAATGAGGATCCAGCAAGGACCAACATTCGTGTCACAACAGAGAAACCACCCATGACTGCTAGGTGCAACGCTGTATGTCTGTAATCGTTTTGGATGTCGAGCAACGCTTTCTCTGGACATAACTTGATGAGGATGCCAATGGTTTTCTCGCAGCCGTGTACCGCCGCGATGTGTAGTTGCCTGTAAGAAAATATTTGTTAGTTCAAGGTGATGGCATACATATCATATTATCTAACTCGAGAGGCTTTTTTAAGAGAAGTGGCAAAAAATGTACATTCGCTATTTCGCAAGTTTCGCAACACCGGAAGACCGATGCGTTTGACTTTTTTCAGAGTTGTTTTTTGTCTGTTTGTTGACCCAAATGTTGTCTAGAGGAAAAACACAGTAGGGTCATTCCATGACAAATGTTACCGAGGGTGAAAAACTAAATATGTTCTTTTCGCATTAAATCTGATGAATTTTGAAAGTATACATTCCAAATTATAATGTGCACCAAAAAAAATCTGAGAGAAACAAGTATTTTTTANTTCTCTGTTAAAACCAACTAATTACGGCATTCACTTGATGTTGAAAATATTTTAATGCATAAACTGCATTTTAATGATGTTAGGCATTAAGGTTAATATGCAGATTTTTATATTAGATCGATATTTGGACACAGTACAATGTAAAGCAAAGTTGAGGAAACTTTGGCACAAGGTCATTGGCACAGATTAAAAAAAAACCTGAGTATTTTTTACTATCATGTTGGCAGTCATGTAAACAACCTTGGCGTGAGATATTCTGAACTGCTCTACGAATCTCATATACAAGGTGTCCCAAAATTAGCATGTCACATTGACTGCTTGTTATGTCCATAGAAAAGTTTCATGTGTTTTGAGAAATTGAGATAGTGACCAATTTTGACACCCTGTATATTGGACTGATAGTCTAATGTGTTCTCCAAATGGAAATCATCCTTATCAAGAAATAATTGTGTTGATACAAACTATTGTAGGTAATTTTGTTATCTTTGTCAGGGATGTATTGTCAGGGATTTTACGCAAATATTTGGTTTCGTGGGAAAAAGTAATTTCATTGAATAATCAGTTTTCATTGTTTCAATATAATTAATATTAATTGCGGGGAAAACCTTTCAATATGTAACTTTGTGTTTTAGGTAAAAAATAGTATTAGTTACTACTTCAATGAAATTGGGTTTTTCGTTATTTAGTTCGAAATTGATTCAGAACGATTAATAAAATTCATCAATCATTGAATTAAAATTTGTACATATGATACTTATTACACTCAAAAGTATGGAATCACCTATTTTTTCCAAGTGATATGAACCAAATAACTAATGAAGATTAAATAAATAAGGTATATACATACTCATTGAGTTCTTCAGCTCGCTTAAGCGAACAAAACACAAGAGGATGATTCTATACTTTTGCTTGTAAGTATATTTATAGGGAATAATTACTATGTTAATAAAGGAAAATACTTATTTTATGCTATCCCTATGTAAAACCAATGCTTTCAATGGAAGAAGGGATTTTTGCAAATGATTCATGAGTGTTACAAATGTACTGTTTTGATTAACTTGTAATTTCCTATGAACTTAATTATTTTTTGACTCCAGCATGGCACAAATGATTTATTTGGGTTTTTAAATTTTACACAAATAACACCTACAATGGCTGATTTGATGATGATGTTAATGAATTATACCATGGTATCATCATTTACCTAATGAAGATTGTCCAGTCCACTAATTTTAAAGTCATTACTTAATTAATAACTGTTTAAGGGATACATTTGTATGAATTATTATGTAAAAATATATTACTTTTTAAAAGAGGTTTGAGGGACTTGTTGATAAACATCAGCAAGTTCCGATCAGTGTTGTGTCTAACAATTTAACATTCATACAACATTGTTTATCTTTTTTGTTAATTATTCTTTGGACCACATGTGCTATGTATGCTGTGTTGATATTAATAGGTAAAAAATCTCATGATAGCTCGTGAGCTTATTTTAAAATGTTTAATGCTTATTTAGGAGAAAGCGGAAAATGTAATAAATATTTACACCAGTTCTAAAACAGCTGGTAGAGCAACGACAATTATTTTTGTGAAAAATAACTGAAGCGAGCACAGTCGAGCACTACAATCTACACATTGTGGCATCTTGTAATAAGTGCTACTTAGCAATGATTTGCTGGTATACTGTTGACTGTACCAATATTCACAAATTAATGATTAGAAGAATAAGTCACAGTAATTGTATGGCTCACAGAGAAATACAATTTAAAGTTTCTTCGAGTAACACTCTCAAACATAGAGATTTAAGCATAGCAAAGACCTTGCCACCACATGGAAATGTTTTGTAAGTTAATTTTATGTTTCTAAGTTTAAAAATGAGCTACTTACGTATCCCCATCGTCATCTTGCCGGAAAAGCAGTCGAACAGGCAAGTCCTCACTGCTGCATGTTGACTGTTGACTCGACCTTGAGGGCTCCGATGTGTGTGTAGCAACATCACTAATTCCAATACTAGCAAAACCTGAACATAAGTCTAAACCACTATCAATGTTTTCTTCCACATATTCACTTTTCACTGTTTCACTAGGTGGGCCCAAATCCTCAGAATCCAGTCGGTCGATTGGTCCCGACAAGAAACCAGAGTCTGTATTTATCTCCACAGGAATTTTTGTGTCGAATCCCTTGTCCGCACTCATTTTGATAGATTTATCACTTCACTTCCACTAACTTCACAAATATAAACTTGTTTAACAACTTATTATCAAACACCAAAACTGTATGAAAACATTTTGTTCACTTATTTTTATTTCATGTAACCGTTCACGTCGAATTCTCGCGTGTAGTGAAATGAAATGAAAATAAAACCAAGATGACGAACATTATGAACGATTGGTAAAGTGGGGCCTCGCAAAAGGTATTTCCGTACTTTTACGATACACGTTCGGATACACACGTCGTGTTGCGGTGTTGCCATCGGACGTGGTCGCTATTTTGCTTTATATAATCTGTGGTCGCTATAGTTGAACGATTTTGAAACGTCTAATCAGAGAGCAGATTCTGCTCTCTGCGTCTAATGGCAAAAATCTGAAATAGCAACTCAGCATTGATAGCAACGCCCTCCTGCAATTGACATTATTCAGTGTTTCTTCTTCTTCTTCTTTGGTTTATGGCGATGAACTTGCGTTTTTTCGCCACTGAGGGCACACTATTCCGCCAATGTCACGTGCGCAGCTTTTACACAGTGATTCAGTGTTTTTCAACGTGGCAAAAATCGGAACCAACATCGTATTGACAATAGCGCCCCCTGTCAATGTAACAGGTGGGTTTGTTCACGCGGGCGGCTAACTTCTCAGTTCTCATCTGCGCGGCAGGTCTCGTCAACTCGGCAGGTCTGTTAGTCAACCCGTATTTGCCCGGGCCACGATGCAGGGGACATCTTTAAAAACCCCCAGAGGCGGGGGCTGGCAGGGCGTTTTCCCGGGCCTATTCTTTGGAGGGCCGCTCTCGGTACCTACTTCTCTGATCAGCAGAGCTTACTGAGCAGCGGCATGGAGCATGGAGCAGACCGTAACCCACTACGGCGGGCCGGGGGTCCTGTTGTATCAGGGCCGCGAGGAGAAAACCTCTATAAAAACAACTGAAAGAGGCGATTTGGGGTTCCCTCGAAGCTGGAGAGGCTCGCTCTTGAGCGAGCTTCTAGTCTGAGGCGGAGCTGCGGACGAATGTCCAACTAGGACAATAACTCGCGGGTCCGTTTCTTTAGGCTCTGGTGGAAACCGTCGGGTTTTAGTGGGTAGGCTCCGCCTTTATTGGGTAGGCGGGGAGAGTCCTAACCCACTGGCCGTCCCCATTGTCATTGACCATTGACCAGTGGGCATGCGCAAAGCATTTCACGACGTAAAAAAAATACATAAATTATATTTCGCTAGAAAAACTCTGCCACCCGAGATAAGTTACACTTTTTGGTCGAATCGAAAATTGAATCCATTATAACTCCATACAATCCAAACGAAAAAAGGCCTTTTGACTTGTATGAGAAATGGTTGCACGAAACTTATTTTGACAATCCAAATATATTGTCACGTTATCGTTTAATTCGAAGGTTGAGTATCGAATTTTGTCGAATACGCAAACGATTCGAAGTCGAAAATTGTTCATGCTAAAGGTACTGATCTTGGTTGCTAGTCCTAATCGACTTTGTCGAGTGGATTTAGGACTTGAGAGGCTTGACACTTACCCCCTTACTAATAAAACTCACACGCTCGTTGAACAGTGTTTTAAAGTGCCGTTTAGCATGGAAATGTCATTTTAAAACAGTGTTCAACAACTGTGTAACTTTTTATTAGTAAGGGGGTTATTATAAGGAGGGGAACATTATCTCTTTTGATTTTTCTATCGCAAAAGGTTACCGCACGGTTTGGGACTAGAGATGGGTTTCCACCCGGGTAAAAACCCAATAAAATCCCGTTTCATTCCACCCGTGGGTGTTTACACCGGGTGAAAACAAGTAATTTTATAATTATTTCAATTGGTATCTTTTCTTTATTTTTATTGAATTTTTCTCATTTAAGTTTATTGATTGTGATAAGTCAAATTTAACACTAATATGCATTAATATCGTGGCCAAATCGTAAAATTGATCACGTTATGATGATGTGACCAATTATTTTATAAAATGGTGTTATTTCAAGAATCGTTGAACCGATTCAGAAGAAATTTAGTAGGAACACAATAATTTGTGATCATGGCAAGGACATGGAGGGGGGGGGGGGGAATGCCAAAGATGCCAAACTAGAGATAAGACGTATTTACTAGAACAGATCCACACACTAGGTATTTTACAGTACTAAGTGGCACCTATTCCAATTTTTAAAATACTTGATCACCCGANATTGCTTCGTCCACTTTTAGCTTGGCCCACGGGCCAAGTCGCCGCGCTGGTTTGAATTTCTAAATAGGTAGTTTTTCTTCCAGTGACTGGGCCCACCATCCACAAGATTCTAGAGTAGATTTTTGATGATTTGGTGTTTAATTGATTAATAAAACATTGAAGTTGGGCCCAGTCACTGGAAGAAAAACTATTTAAAAATTCAAACCAGCGACTCGGCCCGTGGACCAAGCTAAAAGTGGGCCAAGTCACTGGAAGACTCGCTTAGTGTAGCAGCTACTAGAAATACAATGTCTTAACCTTTTGTTGGCAATAAATGACTTTTTACTTTTACTTTAATGCATTTGCATGGACCATATAAAAATGAATTATGTTCTATTATTATTTTTCCTATCTGACGTCACGGCTGGTTTTTACCTGGTTATTGCTTGAGTCGGTGTAGATCAGTGTCAGGTTCAATTTCCTGTAGAATGCAATTTCCGCATTCACCAAAGATAAATAATTGGATTTTGAGCTGCTTATCTTCAAAATGTTTATGTGTATCATGGTTTTATGTTTGTTTACATAATGCTGCGATCCTGTGATTTTTAAAATAATATATTTTTTAACAATATCTTAAAGATTTATTACTTAACACGAATGACTCTGCTCTTCTTATCATAAAAAATACCTTTTTTTATATTCACAAAAATGACGATTAAGGACCGAAGTAATTATCACACATTTACCTGCGTGGAAACTGTAAAAAAATAGAGAAAACGGTGAAAGGAGTCTTGGTTGGTATGTTACTGTACAGGGTGACTTTTGTATCAGTNTTTATTTAAACCAGGTTACCTATAATAATATTTTTTCGTTAATTTATGAAAATATCAAATTAGCCCGTAATCCTGAATCCTGATACATAAAGTTAGCCTATTAATTTAACACAGGTACGACTGTACTCAGTGTTGCACTATCAAATGCAATTGACGCGCCTCTATGCCAGGGTTTTTATGTTCCTGGTCAGGCTATACTTCTTCTTCTTCTTCTTCTTTTATTTTGGCCACAACTTGGTTTTGAGAACCACGATTTCGCCAATGTCACGTAATCCGTTTGGTATGTATCCGAACGTTATAATGACATTTACTTGACGCATGTCAAAATTGACGGACGCGGATTGCAAGAGAATCGGAATCAAAACAGAAAATACAAAAATATTTATTTGTTAGATATTATTATTTTATATTTCATATAAAATGTTTGCTGAAAAAGTTATGGAGTTGTTGAAAGAAGCAGAAAGAAATCCTGACACCATCGACCCATTCAATGTCAGTTTTCTGTGATTGAAACTTCTGAAAAGTAACTTGTTTTGAAGTTTCAGTGCAACCAAATAAACATTATTTTCAAAGCTTTTTATTTTAAATGTCACAAAAGTATTAATAAAATGAAATTATATTNATCGGAATCAAAACAGAAAATACAAAAATATTTATTTGTTAGATATTATTATTTTATATTTCATATAAAATGTTTGCTGAAAAAGTTATGGAGTTGTTGAAAGAAGCAGAAAGAAATCCTGACACCATCGACCCATTCAATGTCAGTTTTCTGTGATTGAAACTTCTGAAAAGTAACTTGTTTTGAAGTTTCAGTGCAACCAAATAAACATTATTTTCAAAGCTTTTTATTTTAAATGTCACAAAAGTATTAATAAAATGAAATTATATTTAGTACTAGCTGACCCGGCGAACTTCGTACCGCCTTAGCGTAGAGATTTTCTTAATATTTTTTTCCGTAAGAACCATCCTTGGACTTCCACAAACATTTAAAAAAAAGAATTATCGAAATCGGTTCAGCCGTTCACACGTGATGCCGTGACAACGCGAAACGGGTTTCATTTTTATATATATAGATTATTCAGAACATAACAAGAACAATGGTAAAGTAAGTTAAAGTTAATAAATATAACTTCTTTGCAGGATGAAAAAATGCGTCAAATATTGGAAGAAATGCATTTATTATTTAAAATGAATATGAATGACGCGTAAGTATGACCGAATTTACACAATATGTAGATAAATTGGCTTGATAGATAGACTAACACAGCTCTTAAAATCTTGTTGAACCACTGGTAGTGGAGTTAGTGTAGTGTAGTTGCTGGTTTAAATAGATATTTTTCCAAAATTTTTAGTAATGCAACAACAGAGAACAAATCACTGTGGACCACAGTGCAAGTGCGGCACTCAGCATTAGAGCGCAACAAGCGGTGTCTCCTAGCACACCTGTACGATAGAATGAACAAGATCAAGACGCTTCGGTGGGAGTTCGGCTCAGTACTGCCTCCAGATGTTAGAGAATTGCTTTCGGATGAGGAGTACCAGTGGTTCAGTAAATACTCAACAAATCTGGCATCTTATATGAGATCCTTAGGACAGGTAAGTGTGCCTGCTATCAGAACTTTTTGCTTTTGCTATGATTTGAGTACGTCCAATAAAACTAATATATTTTTAAAGACAATAATTAGTATTTTCTGTACTTTTGGGTCTGTTAATTTTTGCATACAGAGAACCAAAACTTTATGGAGTACATTAATCAGAAGTAAATTTTAGAAATGGTATTTAGCATATTGTTTATCAACCTTGAATTAAATGAAAATAAACCTTATTATTTTTCTAGGTACCTATTCTAATTAGTATTACTATTCTTATTTGACTTCAGGACATAGGCTACAGCGGCATAGACCTTACAGAGAACTTGAAACCTCCAAAATCCCTGTACATAGAAGTTTTATGCATGACTGACCACGGCAAGCTGGAGTTGGAAGACGGTGACGTCATCACATTGAAGAGGAACAGTCGACACTTCCTCCCCACTGCGGAATGTCAAACACTCATAAGACAGGGGATATTAAAGCAAATTGTATGATATAAGTGGAATGTTAGAATAAATGATTTTTTGTTACACATTTCTTTTATTATAATTAAAATTATTCCTAACAATAAAATAAAAATAAAAATAAAATAAAAAATTAAAAATAATATTCATAACATTTTCTTGTGCTAATTAAAAAAAGTTATATGAAATTTAGCTTGTCACAGATTGTTATAAATTAGGTATAGCCTATATTTTATTCTGATGTATAAAAAATAATACTGTAAAGTTTTATCAAAATCCGTTCAGTAGTTTTTGCGTGAAAGAGTAACAAACGTACATCGACACAAACTTTCGCATTTAGGCATTTTTAGGTAATATTAGTAGGATTACGTTAATTAACATCTTCATTAAGCTAAAATAAACTAAGGTTTGGGTTCACCACCAGCAGACAAAGGTTTTTACAGGTCATTGCAAGTTTGAACTGGCCTTTGTCCAACAACAAATATTTCTGTTTTGGTGTTCCGTTTCGGTTCGTTATGATGGTCGGACGCCTATGGCCTTTACCAGGAATTTCTCCAATAATAGTGTGCGGTGGGTACCAAACCAAGCCATAGAAACGGGGAATTTTTCGTTCCACATTGTGTTCTGTACTGACTGAGTACCTAATAGTTTGACTAAGAGGTATAAAAATGGGTACTTTTACCCATTTAAATAACTTTTTATTATACCTGCTTTATAGTCAAAAAGCTCCAGTCAAGGCTTGTGATTCGTTAGAACCTTCGGTAAACTAATTTCATTATAATTTTACCAAAATATTTTATATTCTCAGTAACTTTTTCCTCTCCAACCCTTCTGGTGTGGGGAGTGAAGGCCAAACCTAGTGGTAGGTACTTAAATAAGAGTTGGTCGTGTTCCTGCAGTGGAGACTAAATGACCCCTGTGAGTCTAGACAAAGTGCAAATTATAATCGCAAACCAGTCGAAAAGTGGTCGAAAAGCCCCTTTTGAGTTTTGACGGATTCGATTTTCGATTCGATCAAAAAGTGCGTTTTGTCTAGGGGGGCTGGTGACATGAGACTTGATGATAGGTACCTATATTATGAAGACCTTTAGTTTGTGAATACAAACACCCAATACAGAAAACAATTGAAAGGTTTAGTCCAACTTTCTCAAGGACTCAAATTCGCAAGTGACGGACACAGTCCCTACTCCGTAGTCCTACGTATCGAGTTTCAACTCCGATATAAAGTTGCCCGTAACTAAACTAATCTATCTTGAAGGAGTAGGCATGCAGGAGGCGCGAACTTCGAGTCCCAGGTCAGCGTTTTGCCTAATAAGGCATTGCAACTTCGGCTATAATTTAATTTTATGTGACGTTAACGTGTTTGGCTGATAAATCGACGGTGCTATCGCGCTTACCTGCTGTATTTGTTTGGGAGCCGGTGGAGCGTAAAGATAATCTTCCGGGCGCGGTGTTCGCGTGAGGCGGGACGAAATGATAACAGAAGCAACCTTTTTTGTTACATTTTCCATTGACTTCCAGCTGAGTTTTGGAAAAGTTTTGAATATCAGTATCAGTATCCAATGGCGTGTTTAATCGCTTTGACACAGGTCCCAGGTTCGATTTAGAAAACGTTTTTTTACAATGACAATGATTCTGAGCATTACCTAAGTCCACCAGTATTACCTAGAATGTTCTACCTAATTTGCTGAAAATGTGACAGCTTTAAAAAGCTTTTGTAGTATGAACCTACTTATATCAATCTGAAAACACAATCTCACAACCTATACGTTCTGGTGCGTCGCAGCCGCAGCGTTGTAATTAAGCACCTATGGCACAGTGCGCAGTAGGCATTACGATTACAATATCGCCTGAAAATACGAATCGTAGCTGATCGAGGCGCTTTCAATAGTGAGGTGAACACGTGACCTCTGAATGGATATTATCGATAGATTGGTGACTATTTTGAATCTTTGTGCTTTGACATCATGACGTAAATTGGTCAGAAAATAATTTGTTCAGGAAAAGCTAAAAAATTTTAAAAGTGTGGTTACTTAATTTTTAAAATCTTGGAGCTTTTTTTAAGCAGAACAAAGCCGCAATCGCCTATTTGCTTGAAAGTTACTTCAAAAGTGAGCTCGATTTCCATGTGGCTTGATTCTCTAGGTACCTACTTTGGTATGATAAGGGTTACTAAGGATAGGTAAGTAGTAGGTAGGTACTATTCCAATTGACGGAACAAGTAAGGAGGCTACAATTCAGACTCTTCTCTATCGATAGCCATTATATCAATTTCGCAGCGTCACTAGCAGCGGCTCACAAACACAGTTTATGGTGAAGACTTGGTCTTTTGCCAACTCCGGCCCGGTTTTATTCAGCGTTTGGCTTTTTTTATCTAGGATCGGGTAATAGAATATGCCATAGGAATACTAATAAATCTTTACTGCGGAGTTATTACTGCATAGTCGTAGTTTTGGTAAAAAATCTAATGTTGACTAGTGGGAATTCAAATGAAATTTTTCCTACTACTTAACTAGGTACTATACATTCATAGCCTAGCCCAAAGTCTGCACAGCAGAACTTTTAACGTTAGGGGACTATGAGTTTGCCAATTTGATATTAAAACAAGAGATGTTTTAAACCTACTCTACTGCCAAAAGATTCAAATTGTCCTTTAATTCATTTAGCATCAAGTAAATCAATCAAAATTATAGGTTTCTTACTCAATTTACCAGAGCCATCATAGAGCTTTACTACATAGCTCTGATTTAGCTACCTAATGGTTTAAAAAAAATTAAGTCCATTGGCGCGGACCTAATAGGTACTAAAAACAGGGATGTGCGGTGCAAAGGTAGGTCCTACTTATAGGCAGTTTAAAACAGTGCCTACCTAAAAGACTGTTTCATTGTAGATTTGACGAATTTCAGGCCGCGCTATCTTTGAAATAAAGAATAAGAATAAAATTACTTAAAAACAATTGACCTAATTATTAAAGCTTGTTTCTTCAAGTTTGTAGAAACGAAACATTAATGTAATAATATTCGCGAAAGTTGACGCAATTTAACGAGAATACTTTTCCATGAAAAGGGGTTTTTCGGTGATGAATAGAATTATTGGAATCAATGTGGCACAAATAAGTAAAGAATCTGTAACGGAAACGGGAAAACTGCGCATCTTTAGATTAAATTTATAATAACGCTATTCGAGCAAACGTTGTAGGCACTTTGACGTGATATCTCCATTGAGGTTACATGAGGTAACGTCCTTAGGTCCAAAGATTAATATTCGACATTTGGTCGAACAAACAGTCATCAAATATCACAAAACCCAGCTCGCAAATAAGAGAGATAAAAATCCAGCTGACGTAGCGATAACAGGAATTTACGTCACAGCACTGAATCAGTGAACACAGGGGCTCTTCTCTTTCATCATCGAATCTTGGCATGAGGCATCATAATATAAATGATCGTCTAAAAATGCCACACCACGTGCAAGTTTGACTTTTCATACTTATGTGCTAAATGTTGGACAACATTAATAAATAAAGATAACTGATTCTTTTTTTTTTCAGAAGATAAGTAAGATCCTCTCAAGGAAAATGTAAGAGGATCGACTGGGAAAATTAGTCCCATTGCGCGGCATGCAATATTTACTGAAAGTACTTATTTGAACTTTAAATTATTACAAAAGGTTTCTTATGTAGCTGATTATAAATTTCAAACCACAGCTCATCTGCATGCCATTAGCATTAAAACAATAAAAGGCGAAGCTATGAAGTTATTTGGCTCGGGTACAATAAAATAACGTCAATATAAAAACCCACTATTCATTTCGCTTGAAACCGTTATTTCGACTTTGTAATCTGTACCTACTTGGTAACAGCTGATTCATTGATGATAAAAGTTGATGACTGTATTTTTTGGGACGCGGCGATAATAGGTAAGTATTTGGGAAAAACGGCCTACTCATATTGTTTTGGAAAAACGGCTCATATCTTGCTTTCATTGTGCGTTTTGAGTTTGTGTAAACTTGTCTCAGAATGCTAGGGAAGGAAAAGGGTCTCAAGAAAACCCGCACTAGTGTGAGAATGGAGAATACAATTAGTTTGGCTAGAAAAAAATATTTTCTATCCACGCAGTACGCCGGCAGCGTTCGGATCGGATATAATGACGTCATCGTCCCCGCGCCGGGCGGTCAGTGAACTTTTTTAGTAATTTGGCCATAACTTCGTCAATTTTTGTCGTAGAACAAAAATTTTTGGACTGTGTATTAAGGATTTCTTAGCCCTATAAATCTGCATTCACAGCTAAAAATCGAAATGATCCTCATTAGAAATCACTGACATGAGAAGCTTTGGCAAAGCCAAAGCTTTTGCACCTGCGTGTGCGGGTTCGATTCTTTTTGCCAAATGTGGGTCTCGAAGCGCTCTGGTAGGGTAAAAAGATTACCTTTGAAACATGTAAGTCAAAGCTTTAAGTAGCTAAGTATTTTTTTAAGTCTTTTATTTTTCTTCAATAAATATTTGACGATTTGTAAGTATTTTTTTAAAGCAAATAAAGACATTTTGACTTTGACTTTTGAATCCGAGCTTGGCTCTACAGAAGATCTGTGTACCTACCATGAGTTTACGTTAGGTGAGCTCGCTAGCGAATACGTCAAAAAATTCTATGATGATTTATTTCTTGAAAGTAGCCGCTAGGGGCGCTGCACAATATGTCATACATTTAAATGTCATTTTTTTACGCAGTCGCTAGCGAGCACACCTAACGTAAACTCATGGTAGGCACACTGATATTTTTTTCACAATGTGAGACATAATATGGTCTGATCTTGGCAACATTTCAGGAACTTTGGTAGGGTCATCATAATTATAATTTACTATTTACTAAAAGATATTATAAAACTCGTCCCGTGTTCTCAAACACTAAAACCTACATCCAAGAGTAGATAGGTGCTAAGAACTGTTTATAAATCTATTAATTACTTTGATGAGTCAGGTTACAGTGGAAATAAAACCAATACGTTCCGCATTTCTCAAAATAATTTACCTATTCCATTGTCTTAGATCACACCCA